CATAACGTTAAACAGGACGTTGGATGAAATTGAAAGATGATCATTCGTGCCGACACCATAACTTTCATTCTAATAATAGAACGTAGCGAGCATAAAAGGATCATCATAAAATTGCACCAGCTGTAATGGTACTGCATCGAAATATTCAGCCGTCTGAAGCTGCCAGGATGAGGCACCATTCCAACTCCACAAATTATCCGCCTCTCTTTGGCCAAGTATAGAAGAGACATCTGCGTGCACTCCGCAACCCTCCCACTCCTCTTCTCCGCGCGGCGCTGGTTGGGCCTATTTCCAGATGACCTTTCCTTTCCCGAGCCAGATTGGCGGAGGCGGACAAACTTAGTCGCAGGTCGGCCGACAGCGGGTTTAGCTAATTATGACCAGTTTGAGACACTGACGGAAACAGCCGCACCCTAGGTTCGGTCCGGACGACCACATCAGCGCGGCGGACATGGCGCAGAGCCTCTGACCCCGACCTCTCACCCTGAGTGGGTCCAGGGGTGAGCCCCGTCGGCGTGCCGGTGACTGCGCTTCATCAACCGACTCGAGCAGACAGCGGCCACCACCAGGGCCCTGTTCCGTCGCTGTTTTTATATCAGCGTGCTGTCGGTTTTCCCCATATAAGGAAGTTATTGCTGGCGCGGCTTGGCCTCTCATTGGTCTAACGAATAGACCACTTGAATTCGACCAATGAGCAGGGCTGCGGAGTCGATGGATTTTCGGCGACTCCGACTCCGACTCCGACTCCGGCTTTCAAAAACCAGCTCCAACTCCGACTCCGGGCAGAATTGTCGACTCCGACCGACTCCAACTCCCGACTCCGACTCCGCAGACCAAGCAGGGCTGCGGAGTCGACAGATTCTCGGTGACTCCGACTCCGACTCCGGCTCGGGTTTCTAAAATCGACTCCGACTCCGACTCCGACTCCGACTCCGACTCCGCAGCCCTGCCAATGAGGAGCCAAAAAGTAGCAGCATGGTCGCAGACTGCTGATAAATAAACGGGGTGCGATCAGGGCTCGGGCTCTGCTCGTGGCTCCCCACCACAGTACTGGTATTGTTGCTGTCTCAGTACGGCTCGGATACAGAAGGTTCTAACTGAATAGAAACCTAACACCGAGTCCGTCCGACGGTAATACGAGTATATACGTAGGTCTGCAAGAAGAGTAGTGTCTCTTCATACACCAGTAGAGGTTGTTTCATTGACCGAGAATACAACAAAAGAAAAAGAAAGAAAACGCTGTAACCAGTGGCGATAAAGCGATTGTCTCGTTACATATATTGTATGTCTACTCCTGATAGGCGCGTGATATTCTGCAACTTCAGCTATCCCACCCGATAGTTTCAAAATTGAGGCTAAATGGAGGCTCTATAGGTACTTTATTTCTGTCATGTCAACGTGGCATCTGAATAAAACCCATGAATAGGAATCTCCATTTAGCGAGTAAATATGGGCTTATTGGAGATTAAATAGGCTCCCCACATTAATTGCCATCCGCCCATGTGAATGATGATCCAAAAGCGATGTTCGTGCCGTTTGGACAGAATCCCTAATACCGATACTATTCCATGGATCTAGTAACATCCTCACTCACACAATCTTTATAATGCTCTTTATGGCCCAATCTAAACGCAATCGCCATTCGTACCTGCATATTACCGGCATCGGGGCTAATCTGAAATCGATCGCCGCCGAAGCGCCGCTGCAAAGTTGCATGCATGGCTCGGCAACACAGGAAACGCGGCCCATAACTGGCCGGCGACGCGGCGGCGGGCGGCGGGCAGGCAGCGGTGTCGTGCGTCACTCGTGACACCAGCACCAGCGGACGGCGTCACCACTGGTGATCCGCTCGTGTAGAGGGGTCACGGGGGTCACTGAAGGACGGACACAGCCGGGAAACACGCGGCCAGCGCCGGGTCGGAGCACCATGGTCGGCTGACACGGAGTGCGGCTAGCCTGACAGCCACACCGGCTCCTCCCCTCCCCCTCCCCAGGGCTCCGCAGCGGCACAAAGGTCGTCACCATGCCTGTGAGCACTCAGCACGCCTGGACACCCCAGGCCCTCCCTGCTCCGTCAGCCTCTAGTCCATGGAATGCAGTGCCTGGAGAAGCTGCGTTCCACTTCGACAGTCGCCAGCGCCGGTCGACTCGATACCCGTCGCGATTGGATTCTTGCTCGTCCGTCCGGGTGACAGGCGACCTTTTCAGTCGCCACGGCCCGGCAGCAGAACTCAACCAGTCGCGGTTCTCGAATCAAAGGGCTTCTCCGAGACAGTTCAGCCATCGAAACTGTACTGGCTGACCTGGGAGTCCTTTATAACATCCTGGTCCTGTCCAAACCAACTGTGAAGCCACGGGGTGGACTGGAAGCCCGTGTAACTGTCACATAGGTACCTATGTCGACTCTAATCGGTAGACAAGGACTTTTGGCATGGTAAGCGCCCATACTAACCTTGTCTCGGTCCCTTTAGATTTGATCTGCGGATAGCTTTCGTCTGAAGCTCGTGGGGCAACTACAGTCAGCTGAAGTCAGCGAATGAAAAAAAAACAAATGAATATGAAATCGACTGCCTTATTGTTAACTTCTTCGGCTTATTCATCATTCCAGGCATTTAGGTAAGCCAGCGAGTGGAAAATAAAATTTTTAAGAAAAAAGAAATGATTGTTTGATTGTCGCATTCTCCAGCTTATTCATCATTCATGGAATTAGTTAGCTTCCGCAGAATGTTGACAGTACATTGCTACTGGCATTCATCAATTTTACTATTAAAAGCAAAATCATTAAACGGATTTAGCTTTGAAGTCTACACTTAGCATACGACATACGTGGTCAATTTTTATATGTTGTCAAAAATTTATTTATCTTAAAGTTCTCATCTCATTGCATCATCAATTGTCAATGTCATTGCCTTCGGCGCTGAGCTACGTTGGGGACTCAGGACTGTCACCATTTGTGTGCCTCCCATGAACCCTTTAGTGATTGCTTAGCCTCAGGTCGGAGTACACAGATTGGCACTGGACAGCCTGGCATTAGTGAACACGTGACTCCGTTTGTTATGAACACAGATATTGACCGGCGTGTCAACATCGAGACCCTGTGCCCGATAGTGGTTTGTAAGCACCGGCAAGCCGTTGGAAATCACCGTCAAACAGTGTGGGTCAGTGCACTGAGTTCGCCGTCCTCCCCCAGGTACACGACGAACGGCGCTAATGGGTGTCCGCACTCCAAAATAGCGCCTCCACTCGCACCGACCCGGCTAAAACTGCGGCCATTTACAGCCGGGCCGAGGCCATTTTGCTGAAACTGAACCGCTGAGATCTGCAAGTTGCTGGCGGCTCCGCTCCGGCGCATAGCTTAGCGCGATCAACTGGGCGCCTGCAGCGAACCCGGCGGTCTCACACATTTAACGCCACGGACAATTTCCCAAACAGAGCCGTTCCTGAGAAATATGCTTGCCTTTCGGGCCTGCAGCCACCAGACCTGACAGAAGCGCCAGCCTGCTCTTGTCACTAGGCGCTCAGCCTCTCAGTGGCTATTTGGCAGCATTTTCAAACTTATGCCCTGCTGAACATGGACACAATATCCGCTCGGAATTCGACGAAGTGATTTCGAGAAATGCCATCGGCACAGTCTAACGTAAAATCAGATGTTTGCGGCCTCGTGAGCAATCTGGAAACTTTTTATCAGTTTATCAGCATGAATTCTTTGGAAGCTAACGTGATAAATGCTGACTGAAACATTGTCTCAAAGCTCCAACTTTTGAGAGCATCATATTTGCTCGACTGGAAATGGAATGGAATTGTAGCACATTTCAGTAAGTATTTCCAAAACAAAGCAACTCTTTCCTACAAAGAGTTATATAGAGTTATATATGCAAGATAATTCGGCTCAACTACTCACAAATTCCAAACAGGGAAGTAAAAGTTAATTAAGATAAGCCAGAATGTCTGCTGCTTTTAATGCAAACCAGTTAGTGAGCCAGTTTACCCGGGCCTGCCAATCCGGCTGCTCGTAGTTATCTAACACAGGCCACTTCTGCTACCAGACATACTTTCCTAGATTTCGCTCCAGAAAGAAGAGCTGAGACAGTCCCCAATTTACCGACCTGCTTCACTTATAATAGAAATTAAAAGACGCACATTTTTATGCCGGTACAACCATACGGCATGCGGTCTTTGAAAAGGACATGCAGTCGTTATTATATATCCGTTGGTAAAACACATGCCTCATAGTAACATATATTCGGCTTTAATTAGACGATCGAGGAAAATAAAGCCATGAATCCATAAAATGTAAGGCGTAAAGGTACGGCTGTCGTTCGTTTTGCACCAAACATTTTTTTTTTCAGAAAAAAGTGATTTCGGCAGCTAAATTATGTTTTGATATGATAATCGACAACCTGGTGATGCGTTGCATGCTGGGCTATTCTGCTATACGATATATTATTGTAATTTCTTTTGTTGTAATTATACGGAGTAGAACTGATAATGAATCGAGTCTTTAATATATATTAAATGCCAATTCATTGCCATCAACTGTTCGTGAAAACATGTACACTTATTAGCTAGGTATGTTCATGAAGCTTAGATTAAAAAATAATGATAAAATGATCATCGGTTATCTTTGCGTAGAGCCTCATAAAAACGTGGCATTTCCGTACTTGCATTTTACCTTATCTCTAAACTATTTTCATTCTTGTTTCTGTGAAATTATAAGCATACGTTATGTAATACAGCATATAATAGGTTATACGTAAACATGCAAAATAAACATCCCAAAGGGCGATTAAAGAATTATGAATCCCGATAATAAAACTTATTAGACTTTAGGTAATAGGGCTCACCAAGTTGCATGCAATGCCAACTTATCAAGGTACTAGGTGCTATGCAACTATTGTCGTTTTTGCGCTACCTATCCTCCCACAGTAATTCCTAATTCACTGGTATCCAAAGACGGCAAATCGTGATAAAAAGCGATATGTGGTCGCACATTGAGGTACTCACCCAAGTGTCGTCATGGTAACAATCGTGTACCAGAAGGACGCCGGAATGGACGTGAACGTCGAGCCCTTCACCTTCTTCTCGGCATAGAACATGACGGTGGCGAAAATGATGATGGCCATGGCGAGCGAGAACACCAGGAAGCCCAGCTCCTTGGCGCACGACTTGAGCGTGTAGCCGAGGATGCGCAGCCCCTGGGAATGACGCGAGAACTTGAAGATCCGACAGACGCGGAACACCCGGAGCGTGACGAACGCGCCCGACACGTCGTCGTTATCGGTGATGCCCAGTCCGATGTAGTAGGGCAGGATGGCCACCACGTCGATGATGCTCATCACGCTGCGCACGAACTTGCAGCGGTCGGGCGCAGCGTACAGGCGCAGCAGGTACTCGGCCGTGAAGATCATCACGCATGCCGTGTCTAGGCAGAAGAAGATGACCTCGTAGCGCTCGCCGCACGGCAGCGGCTCTGCCTTGCCAGGCACCTCTCCACAGGAGACCGTTTCCGCTACGTTAGCCAGCACGGAGACGGCGATGAAGAAGCCGGTGACATAGTAGAACACCAGAGCCGCCGTCGAGGTGTGGGGGTTCTCGAAGGCGCGCCACATCTTCTCGCGCAGGCTGGCCAGCGGCACGAGCGTGCCCTCGCCGTTCTCTGACATTTTGTCGTCGAGAAGGCGTTCGGCGTTCTCACGTTTCCTGTCTCGATAGTCCTCATAGCAGCAGTCTCCGATGACGTCTGGAATGATTCCGAAAAAGGCCAGCTCCTCGTCGTAGCTGGTCAGACACTCGTGTTTCGGGTAGTGCAGCTTCCCCGTGCGGTAATAATTAAGGATATGCCGGAAAATGTCTGGATCCCGGTCGAAAAAATACTCTTTCGTGTCCTCCTCATAGAAAAAGTCACGCTCGTTTGAGCCGAGCAGCGAGTCCGGGTATTTTTCCACCGTGTTGCGCCAAGTCTCGAATTTCCTACCGGACACGTTGATGATGAGCTTCTCATCATCGGCGCGGCGCCGGTCGCGCGCCACGGGCGGCTCCGGCAGCGGCTGGTTGGCGATCGGTACCCAGCCGATGGCCGCCGCGCGGGCGAACGGCAGCCACGCGGCCACGGACGCCATCGCCTCAGCACGGCTCCGGCACTCGGCTCCCGGCTCCCGGCTCCCGGCTCCGGTTCCGGCTCCGGCGTTCACATTCCCCGCCGCACGCACCGCACCCGTGCCGCCGCCGGCCGCCGACTGTCAGCGGCGCTCCGCCGAGGCGGCGGCGGCTGCGCGCGCGCCGGCCGCCGATTGATTGCGGCACCAGCTCGCCAGAAGTCGCCTGTTTCCCGGGTTGCCATGACAACGGCCGACCGGCAGATTGTCATTCATGGTCAGCTGACTGGGTCGGGAGATGAGCCAGTCAACTAAGTGACTGGACAGTCAGCTGGGTTCACAGATGACTGAACGGTATACTGGAGCATGCGCTGTCGTCTGAACGGACTCTGAGAGGAAAATCGACCACCGAATCTAATGCAAGGTGAGAGGATACGAGATGAAAGCGTAAGGCGACAACGCGAATGACTATTTCAGGAAATAAAACACGCATTCCATCCGACATGTAGAGGTCCATGACTGTATTTGCATAGCTTACCTTCAGCGATGTTTTAAACACTCTTTATTCGATAAGGATGACAAAAAAAAACATTTGAACCTTTGAACAGAACGTTCTATGTATAGGTATACATATTGGATTATTGACATGTTTGAAGCGCCGCTGCAGCATTCGCCAGGGTCAACTCTCTGCACTTCGATGCGTATTGCGTGCCGTCTGCCAAACATTGCGGCGCTACAAGAGCTGACTCATGCTGATCCCCACTGACCGATTACTAAGATGAGTACCTAAGGTGAGATATGCGGAGGCAAATCAGCGAACAGCTTTTCGTTCCAAACACTTACATTCTCATCCCATAATGACAAAGGTTCTTTATGTCACTGATTTACTCTGCAATCTGAGATAAAAAGGAGACATATGCATTGTATACAATCATTTTTGCAAAAGCTGCTGTCTCTTTCCAATCCAAATGAGCCCGTGACAATATTTCACTGGCAAAGCCAGCGAAGTGATTCATTACAGCCAGTAATTCACGGACTACGATATCCGTCACCGCTTTTGCAGTGGTACAAATGCGTAACGGTGAAAAATGTAGCCACATGTTCTAGAACAATTAAAATAGTCAGTGCTAGAGCACTGAAGAGTCGGTACGTAATGCAGTTGTTATGGCCTGTGTAAATACCTAACCTATGCATAGTTTTATAAGCATATACTCGCATGTGAATTGCGTCACGTCACTAAGAAAATTTAATCTCAAAACAAAAACTTAAACTGAAATATCCAAATTTCAACAAACCATATCCCTTTCATGTTTTTTATCTATAGGTATATTCGGGGGTTCGGCCACCCGGACTACAGTGGTCATCGGCGCCTATAGGTATATTCTCAACATTTTTAATACGCTTTTTAATACATTTACGATTTTTTATCCTTTAAAAAAACTATAGATACTTACACTTCTAGCAATTTGTATGTTATCTGACATCTCCACCAATATCTATCTATATCTAGCCACCTGTGAGGTATTCGACACTCGACCTCACCCAGCCCGTCACAGACTCAGCCTTGGCATTCACCAGGTGACAGCTGTCATTTGTGACATGTGTCTCGTGACGCTGCAGTGTCACCTCTTAATCTGTGCCCATGCGACTGAGAGGCCGGCGGGCCAACGACAACAAACACAGGCGCGCCGGGTCACTGGCGAGTCGATCGCACGGCTCGCAGACTGCCGCTCCTCGTGCGCAGAGGAACGTCGTCTCGATAGAGGCTGAAGGGATAGAAGAGTGGCGTATGATGACCAGTCTGGCAGGGCCGGAGATGTTCTCGTACGGTATCGCCAGCTGGCATTATGCGTTTCAGCAGCTCTAAATTATGAAATGAAAGTGCTCTCGAATATGCGACTGATGAAAGAGCTGCTCAATTTTGTTGAAAACAAATGAAGTCACATCAACCTCACGCTTTTCAGAAACAGAAACAACAGGAAAGAACACCGAAAGCTGAAAGCACTTTCAAATGTCTACATAACCGCTCAAACGAAAATGCTTACAAACTTGCCTCATAGATGGCGTTAGCTGTCAAACGCCTGACATGATACTGTACCGCACAGCATTGGCGTCCCGCGGTGCAGCCTACCTGCCAGGGAGCGTTTCTACCGGGCTCCCGCCACGGCACGTCTCTGCAATCTGTATCGTAGACGTTCTTTGGAATAGTGGCGATGAAATATATCTTCAAAGGTAGGGAAAGACGATATGTACCAGCACCTACAGCAGAAGGTACCGTCTACCGGGCAATCCAGTTTTGTGTCACACTTGCGTGGAGCATTTACATTCAGTTACCATCTCGAACCCCTACTGCGTGCCACGCACGGGCGGACACTTTTCATCTCGTTCTGGTCTCTTTGATCCCCAAAATGTGTCGTTAGCGGCTTAGTGCGCTGGCGCGGGGCCGGAGTACCAACTGTTGCTGCCGATTGCCGGTGGGAGTGGCAAAGGGGAGGGTAGATGTAGGGAGGACAACACTCCAGAGCACGTAACGTCTGCCCGGTAGCGCTACAGAGTCGCACGGCGTCCGATCAGCGGCGTAGCTTCGTCCGAGGTCGGGTACCGGGGACAGCCATCGTCGATTCCTGACGACACTTCTCGTGGAAAACTACCGCGGACGTGAGAAAAGAGGTCGACCGCAGCCACTTCAGATCAAACGCTGAAGCTCCATTCGGCATCACTCTAACCACACACATCCACCGTCCGGAGTCAGAGAGTCAGAGTAGCCGAGTAATCCGAGTCGTAGTCCGGGAGGGGGTAGCGCTGGTGAGTTGGGCGCGGATCTAACCGCCGCGGGCGTCGCCTGCGTCCGCCTGTCGCCATCGACCGTCGCCTTATTAGCCGGGCCCGGCGGCGACGCTTCCCGGGGGGCGTTATCGCCCACAGGGACAGACGCCATCCCGACAGGCCGCCGGGTCGGAGCGATGGGGCCGGCGGGTCAACGAGGAGGGGGTCACCGGGGAGCGGTGGAGGGCAGATGGGAGGGATATGGTAGCTGGACAACGAGGGAAGGGTGGGGAGGGGGTGGAGGGGTCACCGGGAGGGGTGGAGGGGTGACTGGGGGCGGGGGGATACGCCACCGGGACAGAGGTCCACTGAGGCTGGCCGGAGAGTCGCTGGATGTAGTCACTTTGTGTATAGTCACTGGGTGTAGTCACTAAGTGAAGTCTCTGGTTCGAGTGGAGGATCACTGTATGGGAGAGGGTAACTGGGGGTGGAGCTGGCCGCCGGAGGCGCTCTTGGGTGGTGGAGGGATCAATGGTGGTGATAGCTAACACTTAAAATTTCGGTTATTCCAAAGTAGTTGAGCGTCTATCCCTCGACTCCTTTGGCGAACTTTCATTTCAAATTGAAAGAAATTACATTCACGTCGCGGTGGGAAAAGTTCCCGCTTTGCAGTTTTTGCATGAAAATGCCAATGATACGATAGGTCGTTTTATGACAGATATTTACTAATGGCCTAAGCAAGTATCAAAAACATTCCTGGTAAATGCTTTAGTTTCCACATTAAAAACACAGTTAAAGTAAATACTGAATAGTGTTTAGCTATTTCAAGCAACCTGTGGTTCTTGTAACTACATCTACCCACGTCAGACGGCAACACACACACAAACCACCAGAAACAACACAGCTGGATATATTCAGAAATATCTGCAGTAACTTCAGTCAGCACACGACGCACATTCAACATATACAGCGCTACACATTTTGATCCGTCAGGTCCACCTATGTACAGCACGGGGCCCGGCGCGGGCACCATTGTACAGTATTGACACCGGCTAGCCGCCCACAGAGCAGTACAACTATCACACACGATGGGCCGGCGGCCATCAGAGCTACCGCCCAGCTCCGACAGCCCCGCGGGCTTATCACGGCCGTACAGCCCCGCCATATCGCCCGGACTCCCTCACAGCTGCCATGGCTCTGACAGAGATGGGAGCTCACAGACGGTGGTCGGCTCCGTCAGAGCTCACAAACAACCGCTGTGGCTCCGTTAGAGCTCATAAACGGCCGCTGTGACTCCGTTAGAGCTCATAAACGGCCGTTGTGGCTCCGTTAGAGCTCATGAACGGCCATTGTGGCTCCGTTAGAGCTCATGAACGGCCGCTGTGGCTCCGTTAGAGCTCACGTACGGCCACCATGGCTCCGTCAGAGCTCACATACGGCCAACATGGCTCCGTAATATAGATCGGCCGAGTACTATCGCCCTCCAGAGCCAACCGTAGAGGTTTCCGCCGCGTTCGACTCCTGCTTGCGGGCCTGCAGCTGCTCCAGCCACTCTGGATGGAACACGTTCCACTGATCCAGGGCCTCCGGCGGTACTCCCATCATTTCTAGAACAGGGCGGGTGGTCGGGTACAGGCTCCAGCACAGGACCACGTACAACCTCTGACAGAGGGACCGTGTACAGGGACGAGCGCGGGGGGACGCGGCACAAGCCGAGCGGAGAGATCGGGCCCTGCTAGTGGCCGGGGAGCGCTGCGCGTCCCAGTCGCGCTCGAGAGCGCGCCGCACGCCGCTTGAGCAACTGGAAGAACACGGTTGAATTGGCAAGCTCAGCGGACGCGCTCGCGCCTGACTGCAATGGTGTTCCGATTCAGCAATGCCCACTTGACTGAGGGGCGAACTGAGGCCCGGTGAGGGGCCGATACCGGCGATTTGTTGACATTTGACTAAGTCAGCCACCCGCATTACAGACAGACTGGTCTCACAACCCGTGGTACCACACTAAGGACAGCCAGCAGCCGGCGGCGGCGGCCACGGGACGGCACCAGCAACACACCACGAGCCTAACCCGACGAACGACCACAGACGCGACCAGACGCCACCACTAGCCGCGCGTCCGGGCGGCGGCGGCGGCGCGGCGCACTGCAGCTTGCCGCCGCCGCCGGCAGATGTCGCTCCGAGCGGCGGCCTAGGAGAGCAGCTCCCTGGTCTGTTCCCGGAACATGGGGTCGTCGGCGAAGACGTGGTTGGTTGGTATGTCGGCCACAGCGTCCGGATTGCCGCCTGGAACCCAGCGAGACACACAGAGAGCCCGGTAAGCAGACGACCCGACACACGGACTCCGGACACACACGCACCAACATACCGTCAACGTAACGTCAGCCATTCACTCAAACGGGACAACCCAGTATGTGTACCGTGACAATGTTCAGACGAATATGTGCTGTAGAGACGTGCTGTGGAAGATGGAATGGTGGAACTGATGGGGTGATGGAAGGGCTGACTTCGAAATAGAAAGGCAATAAATGAATACTGAAAGCAGAAAGGCAAACCATGAAATGAAACATTATCAGATAATAACAATGATGGGCTCAATTGACTTGGTTTCATGGCTGATTTAAAAAAGCAAAGGATAATAAGAGAATAAATTGGTGCCGTAAACATAAAATAACCTATATGTCAGCAGCAATAGAAAGGGTAGAGATCAGAGAAAGCTAACAATGCTCATAACGTTCTTACAAGGCACTGTTCATATAAAGCGGGTTGGTTCAGATCATCAAGGATATGTGAGGATCGCAAAGGCAGAAATGAAGACAAATAAGTATGTACAACTGTGGCCTTCACCAAGAACAGCACGCACATAAATATGTTCCAATAAATACCAGACACAAACACAACGACACAACAAACAACAACAAATACCAGTGTAATGCTACACCACTCCGGCTGCAAATAGATCCAACCACGAAAAGGTCCCTTGATTAACACAACAAAACTCAAGCAGCAAACATACCCTAGAAAGGTAGCTCAGGTTGAGATTTTCAATAGAAAATCACAATTCTAAAGAATACTGATTGTCTCTATTGAAAAGTCCCAACCTTCGGATTAACAAATAAATTACCACCAGTGACGTCAAACCATGTCAAATCATCCGGTGTCAAAAGAAACCACGGCATTATTCCTCTCCCTCTAACTTGCTCCCGGCCTCTATCTACGATTCGTGGTAATAACGATTTTTTTTTTTAAACGCAAAACCTTAAAAACGCATAGAACTGTACCATTGCAATTTGGCGGAAGGAATGACATGACATTTCTTAGAACTCGTGTTAAAATAGCATCAGCGAAAGCGCTGACGCTGACGGAATTTCACTCCCATCCTCCATCCCTTCTCTTCCCGAGAGGAAAACACAGGGGCAATGTGCAATGGGAGACGTGGATCACTGTATGATACTGACAGCTGCACATAATCCACATGACAAAGACAACACGCAAATACTCAAATACGATCAAATCATTCAAACAAGTGATACTTGTAAAATGCAAGGTGGAAATATTTTATTTATGAGATAAATTAGGATAACTAAACAGATGAAAGCAATTATTGCTATACATATCTACGTTCAATAAGATTGTGATGATTTACAAAATAATAAGCACGCACAACAGACACCAACATAAAAATAAAGCACATCATACCGACACAACCACATGAGAGCACACATTTCACTCGATTCAATCATCTCCAAATATGTTTCATGAGCATTTGTCCACCAACTCTCCCGAGAGGTTATAAAGCGGATGATGGATCGCAAATGGCAGAGCTTATGTCAGGAGATGGCCAGGTCAGGTCACACAGTAAACCAAACAGCACACACAAAAAGCCAAGTAACCTGCTGGCGAAGTGCAAGTGACAGATTACATGACACTAATATGCAAGAAATAGCAACTGAATAAAAAGCATGCAAAGCATTCTAGAAGCAGAATGAGGCAAGTCAGCTCGCTATGCAAAAGCAGGTAGCCTGGCATGTTGCTCGCAACTGAGACACAAGTTCGCCGTCCCTCCCTCTCTCTCCCAGTGTGTACCGATACGAGCGAGGTCGGTCCTCCCCCTCTCCCGTACAGAGCATCCATCATGCACGCAGCGAAAGCGGCATCCATAATAGCCTTTAACCAGGTAATCGTTCGAACCTTAACTGGCCGGCAGCCAAACCAGATAGCACAAACTCATCCAATGCACAGGTGGGCGGTAAAAATTAAGGCACGAAACCAGTAGGAACAAAAACATGATTTTGTTTTGTTGAATTCAGGCGCCGCAAAAACATGCGAGATAAGATGGATAGGCGAAACATTGTGGTCCGAAACGAAAATAGGAAGCAACAAAATCTATTTCAGCCAGTGTTCCATTTTTCAGATTTTTTGGTGGCAAATCACACCTAATGGGGAAAATACTTTCATCCCTAAAATATGAATGACCGACTTTACTTCATCTCTGAAAAAGTTTCATGTATTCCCAACAGCCAGTTTACATGTCACTTGACAGTTGATGCACCCACATCCTTTTGTTTCGCACCCTGTCAAGATTCTGACATGAAATCCTGGTTTATCAGTTGGCATACAAATTGGCATTACACCATTTTGCAAATATACTTCGGTTATTTATTTCCTTTTTTCTCATCCTAGGATTTTTTTTTTCTTCATCGGCACACCCAACGAAAATCCAATTTTAGAACACTGATTCCAGCTCGGAAACGAGGATAAAATCATCGTGAAAATGTTTGACTTCAGCGCTTCAACAGTGCCTTCCCATCGTCCTTTCTTCAGATGACATTTCTTCAGCTGACATTAGCTGACTGCTGACATCCATGACAGTGGAGTCCTCCAAAGTTCAGCTAAATTGTAACCAAATCGATATTCTACCTGGTAGCTTAACCCGCGCCCCACTGGGGGGGGGGGGCTATTTATAGCCCCCCCTCCCGTTTTTCTGCAATAACTTCCAAACCGCTTGACGGATCGACGCCAAAGTTTCAGGACCTTCGGCTGCATCAATTTGACACCTTGTGTCAAAATTTGAACTTCGTAGGTACCATAGATCGGCCGGAAATGACGTCAAAGTGACGTCATGTTCGTCCGATTTCGACGCAAAACATTGAACCACGGCAATCGCTCCCAAGAGCTCAGTTTTTAAGCTAGATCCAATTTCTTTGCATGAAAGGACTCAGAATTGACCGCGCTATCAAACTGCTATCTCGGATTTTCAAAATTTTTAAAATTTCGAAAATTTTATATAATAATATTCAAAATTTATATTTTTATATTTTTTTTCAAAAAGTTTTTGACTTTTCGAAAAAACCGGAATATATGTGACAGAACAAATGATGTTGACTAACTCTAGCAAGTTTTAGCTAAATATCTTCAAAAATGGCTAAGTTATACGCATTATTGCAAAAAATTCACAATTATTAATTTTTCAAATCAATTTTTCAGTACGTATTTGACATCGTACACCAATATAAATGGCACCATCGTGTTCCTGAGCTCAAACTGCATCCATTAAACACCTTTTTTGTTGAAAAATGTAAACTTCAAAATTTGACCTTTTTTGACCTGAAAGTGACCTGACCTAAGCGAAATTCGACTCCAAATGACCTCAAATGACACAGACGACATCAAATTCGAAATCTATGGCCTAAATGGACCATAAAACATGTGTCACGTGACCGACGCATGATATAATATTTTCGTGACCTGTGATGACCTGACCCTGACCTGAAAATCAAAGTACAAGTTTGGTACCCTCAAAGTATCTAGAGCATCTCTTCACGAGTGTGGAAACCAAAAATGAGCCTGATCTGACTTGTAAGACGGCGGCCAGAGCCCAAAATGTGAACAAGCCAAAATGCTAATAATTTTTACTTTGACCTGACCTGTGACGTCATCGGTGACCTCGAGGTCAATTAAATTAGGTTTCGCTCGACAGTTTTTCCGGGGCTATCAGACGCCGTTTGAATTTTGACGATCGGTCCAGTAGTTTCGGAGTTAGGAGGGGGGGCTATGAATAGCCCCCCCCCCCCCCCAGTAGGGCGTGTTATACACAGACCCCAGTGGGGCGCGGGTTAATTTTCCGCTAACAGTGTGATATCTCCCAGATATTCACAAACAAATTGTGCCACCAAGAGCAATCGCCAGTAGGCTGGTAGAGCAGTCAGGAGTCGCCCACAACTCCTTGGCCACCCGTCAACCGCAGCCCAGGTACACTCCCGGGTGTACTTTTAGGCCTGGGTGCACTCATTAGCCCCGGGATGCACCCATCAGTCCCAGGGGTGCACGCTCCAGTCCCTTCTGGCCCAGTGCAGCCAGCGTCTCTGTACACTGTACAATACATAGCACCCTCCGGCCGCGCCCGTCACGATATACCTGATCACAGAGCCGTCACTGCCGGCCCCTGGACGAGCTCTGTACCGCTCATCCCGTCTGTAATCGACCATCAGAGCCGCTCAGTAGCGGTACGGGAGAGGGGACAGGCGCCCGGGAACAGAGAAAATAGACCGCACACAACCAGAGAAAGACATAGAGAACCGAGGGAACAGCACAGGATTCCCAACACCAAATATAATGAACAGAGTGGTGAATACAAAATGAGGCGAAATAGCAACAGAGAAAAACAGAGCCACCACCAAAGCAAACAAAATACAAGTACAGTGTTTATGAGATTAAAGGCAGATTTAAGCAGGCCGAAGCAGCGTTTAGACTGGCTCCCCAGCAGGTTGGCTCCTCTCCTTGCAAGCTGCTTGGCTCAGTTGGGTAAAATACAGACAGCTTTGCGCTGGAGTTGAGTGGAAGGGATGTGGATCCTCACCGTGAGCCAGTCAGGTGTGGACATCCGATGTGGACCGGGTGGACAGGCGAGGATGTGGACTCAGGTGGACATGAGCCGGCGGTGGAAGCGGCCAATCTCCACCGGCGGAGGCACGGAAGAGGAGCGAGGGCGCTTCAGATACCGGAATCGCCCCAGGGCGGCCCGCACCGCTGGCGGGGAAGGGGGGGGGGGCAGAGGAGCGGTTAGGAGGGGAGAGGAGAGGAGGAGAGAGGACGAGAGGAGCGGTTAGGAGAGAGGGGAGGAGGGATGGATGTCACAGGGCACACCGGGACAGGAAGAACATGATAAACAGAGTTGAGACAAAGTCGAGCCGGTATGTAGATGACCTATCAGGGAAGACGCCGTGCTCGAATGTCGGTTAAAATGGATACAGCGTAAAAACAGGGAGACAAAAATTACTCAAAGGGATCTTGGAATGCCAGATGATTTAGTTGAAAGTTTGATATGAAAAATAAATAATAAAAAGGGTTGGTAATAGGCTTACAGCAAAGGCATTAAAAATGAGAACAAATGCAGTGATTAGCTCCATGCACCAGCACCAGGGTACAAAATGATAATGATAACCACCGTTATCAGGATCAGAGGATAGCAAGGAGCCCCAAACACATCAAAAGCGCCACCTTTACCATCAGTTCACTCACCGGCTGTCAGGCGGCGTGCGCGTTCCCGATCTCGGACGATGTAGGCCGCGTTGATAAGGAAGAACACTCCGCCCAGCACCTCCACGAACATGGTGATGAACAGGGCGTACTGCATGCTCTTGAACTGGGTGTACGTGTCGACGTCGTCGTTTCCCGAGCTGGGGGCGGCCAGCGCGAGCGATACCGTCTCCACGAGGCTGGCCTCTGTGGCGTTGGGCGGCAGGCCGAGCGTTGTGTTGGCCGCCGCCTGGACGGCCGCTGCCGAGGACGTCGGGTCGGAGGAGGACGAGAAATAGCGCTGCAGGGCGTCCGAGACCTGGCCGGAGGGAAGGACTTGTCAGGCGGAGCCGGGCTCTGGTCAAACATGGGACGCACGCCAAACACCAGACGTGACAGCACGCCCGAGTATAGACGAAAAAAGACACGTGATGAAACTAGCCATAATTGGCAGATATTAACACAAATGTAATGGGAACACACTGATGGGCCATCAGTGTGCGCCCATTACATTTGTGTTAATATCGTCTAATTATGGCTAGTTTCATGACGTGTCTTTTTTCGTGACTTAGTGCATATTGCCATCAGTGATGGCATGCACTAAGTTTAAACCAAAAACACTTCGTCCGTGGCGAACTGAGGGATGAACCACAGCCGTGTCACTATTTGCCAAAAACATCAGCAGACCCTCTCCCCCGGTACTCACAATGCCGATCAGGTACGGACTACCAGCGTCCCCAAACAGGTGCGAGGCCAGGATCTGGAACGCCTCGGCTGTGGAGCGGCGCGTCGGTACTACCACGTACTGCGGAAGGGGAAGGCGGTGTTAGACAACAGGCGGAGGGAGGTCCGCAGTGTAAGACACTAGGCGGAGGGCGGTCCGCAGTGTTAGACACTAGGCGGAGAGCTGCTCGCCGACCGGGGAACCCGTGAGAGTGGGGCAAGACATGATCAGAGTCAATACTAAAAACACACCCACGGTACGAAAAAATAGTTCGACCGCAATAAAATACCCACGATAGACGTTATGCAGACATGAACCGGATTAAATCAGACACCCACATGGAGAATGAAATATTCAATACAATAACACGCCCACAGCAAACAACCTAATACAAACGCCTACATCTAGTCAGAATGTTAAACCGACAGATTGACCAGACACAATCAACAAATGGCATACGTCCAGCCAGTGGCTGAAATGCTGGCAATTCTGTGAAACAAATGCCGCCAGTCTGTCGGCTGTTGGACGGCGTTCAGATGATGCCTCCGGCTCAGCTGACTTTGACATGTGATCCCCAATCAATCGAAAATGGGGCTCAGACCAGCACCAGATAGTACCCAGAACGCCAATCCATAGTTACAGCTGCAGTCATGGTAGTTTGACGGGAGGGTCACGCCCGGGGCTTAGCTGAGTTGCATCGGTCGGGTCGGGAAAGGTCAGGTCAGGTCAGGTCAGGTCTGGTCGGGATAGGCTAGGTCCAGTCGGGTCAGGGTCCAGACCGGTTCGGTAAGGTTACGTCGGTACGTCGGTAAGGTTTTAAGGCGATGTAAGATTCTAGTGACATAGCGTCAAATCACATCAAGTCAGGTAAGATCACGTCAAGTCGGTAGGTCATGTCGGATCAAACCAGGTAAGATCAAGAGCGTCAAACCCCCCCCCCCCCCCCCAACTACCCTCCACCCTGACTGGTGCCTCTGTACCTCTCCCCCGATATCATCTGAGTGCCCCCGACGACTCTCGATATCTCTCTCATCAAAGCGACACCTCAGACCAGCCCGATAGCGAACAGCAGCGCAAACACTGGTATAGGTACTCGTACTTGGACGCTCAGTCCGCGAACCCAGCGTTCGCTGATACACTGACAGGCTGCGCCCCGACGGAGCGAGACACTCCCGAACTAATCCCACCGCAGTTGTCAATACTGTTTAGATGGACTGAATACCCCTGTTGTCGGGGAATAACTGAGAGTGGGGATACCAGGAGACAGTTTACTCAAGATGTAGCTAGGGCCCCAAGTGATCTATACAGTTGGTATTGCGGATAGTGAAACGTTATCGGGGCATACCAGCCAGACAGCAAATAAACAGGGCGGTTCGGGGAACTTGCCGACTGACGACGCCCCCTAGTTTCGTGCGCCCATTGGCTACTGTGAGGGCCCAGCTCTTCGCGTTCCACTGAGCGGCTACATCCCAACATATCGACCCGAGTTGCAAGTATAGCCATCCACAATTAATCACCCAACAATCAACAGCTAACATTTTACGAGTCAAACCCCAATTCATGCCACCGAGTCGATGCACTAGACCAGGGGTCGGCAAATGGTGGGGCATGCCCCCTTTGGGGGTAATGGAGCCCTTTCGGTGGGGGTAATGAGGGATTCTGAGAAAGCCTATCTTTTTAGAGTTTGTAGCTCCAGTGATGGAGCCATCGTGACTGTTGCATCCCAGGGTTCAAATATTAGCCCAGGCCAAAGGCACAGCACACATTGATTAGATACCAATTTTCATGTACCTGCTCGCCTCACCATCTCACCCCTCCGTACAGTCGTACAAAAGCAGCTGCAACTTTTAACCGTCGCCCGTCTGTTGGCGTTTCAACAGCCGCTAACGTAAGGGGGAGGAGTCGATCGGACCCCCGCGGCCTCTCGGACTCTGAGATGGAGCTGTGCATAAAAAAGACGAGCGTGCTACCCGTGACAATAGGAAACCGCTGCTGCCCATTTTTTAGGTCCTTGGTCATTCCGTCTCATTCAAGAGGGCAATGACAAGTGTCAAGAAAACCAGGACCCGCTATAACTTCTTGAAGTGAGATTTTATGGCTCAAGATGATCTCCAGAAAAAGCTCATAAGCCAACGGTCATTATGGGTCCAGAGGCCAGTTTTACCAACAGAAAAATAGCCGCCTGCCGGAATTTTTTGCCTAAAGATCGCTTCACATATGGAGCGTAAACGGTAAAGCCCTATCCGCTTACGAGCCCATCGCGTTTACGCTCCGTATGTGAAGCGGTCTTGAGGCAAAAATTCCGGCAGGCGGTTATTTTTCTGTTGGTAAAACTGGTCTCAGGTCATGATATTTTCCGGGCTGGTAAAAAAATGATGGGCTCGGGTACAATTTGGTCGTGATCCAATGCCTTTTACGTGAGCTTTTAACGAAAAACCACCCGCCGCCCCTATACGTACAAGGGTTAAATGGGATATAGCATAGGCGGCGGAACGTTGAGGGCACCGGGGCACCGTGCCCCCTTTGATTTTTGCATTTTAACATTAGCCCTATGGGCGTTGCATGGAAAGAATGGGACCAAAAGTCGGCAGTGCCCCACCCCTCCCCCTTAATTGAAGGTGTTCCGCCGCTACTGGGATATAGGTATTAAATGTTTTGTGGAGGAAGTGTCATGTTTTAAATTTGATGCATTGGAAATGCACAAATACCCAAAGAGTTCCAGGACGGTATGGAATTTCAGTAAACTTGGTTGTGTCAGCAATGGGATCTGTTAGGTGGGGTAATGGCCCTGCCTGGCGCCCAAAAAGGGGGCACGACCCCGAATGACCTGCCGACCACTGCACTAGACCAACATTTCGTCAGCAGCCCTGCCCCATCCATATTACATCGAACAGTCGTACCATCACGATCCCCAAATTCCACAGCAACATTTATGAATCAAGCCACCCTCGAAGTCACATATAACGAAACAGAAACCACCTAGGTAAAACGGAAACCGGACGGACTCAATCAATCTCCACGCCCATCCCTATCCACTAAATTATCCCCACCCGTCCGTCTCCCTCCTATTGCTCCAGGGTTTGACACTCACCAGCAGCATATCTGCCACGATGGACCAGTTGAGGTTGAGGAACACCTGCCCGATGAACAGCAGCACGTACGCCCAGTTGGTGCTGTACTGGCACACGATGGCGCCGCCGAACATGAACGGCATGGAGAGCAGCAGACCGGCAGCACAGACCACCGGGTCGGCGCGCGGGAAGCGCGGCCGCAGCCGGGTGGCGGAGAACGAGCCCAGGGAGACGCCCACCAGGCCGGCCAGCATGGTCACCACGCCGAATATGAACGACACACTGCCGGGCAGAAGGGGGGGGGGGGTAAGTCAGGGTAGAAGACGCAGGGAGGAGAGATGCAGAGTAAGTGGTACAGTACTGGCAGAGGATAACCTAAGGGAAGCACAACACAGCGAGTCTGTTAGTTAGAGAGCCAGCACCACAGCAAATCAGCACACCCCTTATACCAGGGAGATTAGAGCGCTTAGAAGTCGACGGACCCTCTGGGCCGTCAGGACTGACGCTGAGTGGACTCCTCAATAAGCAACAAGTATCGATTTACTTACTCATGGGGAAACGCCCGAGCCACGAGCGATATTACACGGACGATTAATATGGATGGCCCGAGCTGGCCCGAGCGGAGTTTCAGCAACAAGCCAGCGGCGGGAGCGGCCGGGCCGCCAAGATAGCAGAGCTTATTTCAAAGTTTTCAAAGGTCATCTGGCTACCGAGCCACGTAACCCGTTGCAGCCACATTTAGTTCGCCGCAGAATGATTGGATAGAGTATTATTGTGTAAAAATAGAGCAATGAAAGTTGAAACTAGCAAAGCGTCCCGCCATACGCGATAGGAATTGCTTACATAATCTCTATCCTGCGCATTAAAAGAACACTGTCGGCATTTGAACCTCACGGCTCGCACGCGTGCCCCTCCGTCAGACTTTGTACGCACATCGCCCCACCTGGCGCGGTCAGTGAGAAAGACACGAGACATAGACTGACACACTCACACGGACAAATGGACATCACGTGACCTTAGTCCACAGTGGTACTCGGGTACACTACGGTTGTCACGTGGCACCATGTGGTCGGGAGGGAGGATGACACGTGATCGGACCGACTATGGATCAGGCGACCAGCACGTAGCCCTTTGGACCCCACTAACCCAAACCGAACCTCAACAGACACCGACAGACCCGTCCCAGACGGCAAGAACCACGGCTGGTTGATAGATAAACATTCAGTGAACACATCAGCAGCGCACCGGTCGGCATGGCAACGGTGAGTGATCAGTCGGCCCACCGCCGAACCGTCGACAGGGTAACTAGCTATAAGAAAACGAACACAAGGCGCCCATACAGCAAAAATGACTTTGTTGACGAAAACTTACATAATACGCTGTTGGGCTGACCAGGCAACATTCTGACAACAGCAAGAGGCGTGGCCGCGTGGTATTGCTAGAAAACAGTTTTTTTTTTTTTTTTTTGGCTGTGGTAGGATGAATTGACACAAATATCACAAGATAGTGGTTTCTATGAGAGCACTTATCCGTACTGAATTTTCTTATACAGCGATCATTGAGGACCATCAAGCACCACATGTGCCAGGTACCAGAGTACTACGCACGTGCGTAGGACAATGAGTTGGCAGTTTTGGGAGCCCGGACTGCAAAGGTCATCGGCGTCCACGTCAAAGCTAATCATGAAGGTCATACTTTAAAGACCTCTAGCCCGGTCGTTCAGGCTGGAGGAGGCCACGAGATACGAAACACGGCATGCGCCTCATTTTAAGTACACCTATCCAGAGTTCATTCGTTCCTCTAGTCTAGCGAAATGTCATGATGATTTCGATATTTTGAGTAACTGACTTCACTACGATAAAAAAGCACATCTACGCACCAAGTCAACTAGCAACACCTAAATTCCCCCTATACCCTGTCCTTCCCAGGCCGTCAGGACCCGCGGCGTGTTCACTTACTCGTTGATGTCGGCGTTCTCGTCTCCGACCTGCAGCTTGAGGCCGTCGGTGACGTATTTGGGCCCCCACCAGGAGAGCGCTCCGGCGACGAATGCCACGCACGTGAAGCCCAGAGTGCCCAGCACGAAACTCGGACTGAAAAGAGAGGGCGGGAGAGGTCAGAACAGCGGCTAGTGCATTCGCTGTGGGACACATTTAGGTTTGCAGGCCAAAAACGACACAAAACACAGATCGATAGCTTAATGGATATGAAGTAAAAGATAATCTGCACAGTGCACAGCAACAATCAATTGTTCGTAGAAGATAGAAGCCAAGGTACACACGGGGCAAAGTTTAGCCGTGTAGTTCACTTAAGACACCATCAGTAGATTGCAGTAACGGTAATCGATCCCTTCACCGATAAAGAGCACCTGTCAACCTATCAGGCAGTGGGCATTTATCAATCCTGGCCGTAAACAGCTCTCACATACAGTCACTGGACACCTGTCATACAACCCGCCTCCATCCATTCGTTACACGGATGCACTAAAATGGGCGGATTTCCTCTCATTACCACCTGAGATAGCCAAACGCCACCCACATGACTTCCGACAGAGGAGAGAGACACTGTCAGAAGATCCCAAACCACACCACCGGGCCACCCGCATCCTGTCCCGCTCTAACTGGCATCAGACCACTCAGTCCCCGACCTTCACTCCACCCAAGCCGGATACGGAATCTCCAATGGAGGCAGACGCTCAAACGGGCCTCGCCCAAACGGCTATCATTGGAGCCGATATTAGCTACTGTTTCTGGGATCCCGCGGTGGGCTCGGTCTCTTTAGACAGGTCCGGCCCGGTCGCTGGTCGGTGGAAATTTACCCGGGGGACGTAGCCGCAGGGGATATGGCCTAGGCTGGAGCGGGGCCAGGTGGTTGATGACACATTGACCCAATTTCTCCAGGGAAGCACCGTGACACTAAAAGAGTTATGGTAGTGTAGGGTTTCCTCCGTAATTAGCGCTTCTGGCTGACGCGGAAAGGCGTCTTCCCACCCCTCCTCTTCACACTCTCTCCTTGACCTCTACATGTCTCTCCCCGACCTCGTATCGTCCCGCCCTCTTTCTGACTTCTCACCCCACCCTCTATCAACCTGGCACACTGTCAATAGGTCACGCGATGGCGACTTGGACCACCCCCAGCCCGACTACATAAAAAAAAAACAGCTGCGTTCTCCACCCAGTATCTGACACACGCACAGCAGAACCGCGCACCTCGCAGATACCTACACCGGGACAACGCACGCGTCCGGCGACCGACGCCAAGCCCGTCAGCAGGGCAGGGCTAGAAGGACAGGTGGGGGCCCGGCCGGCACCGCGCCAGGAACACAGCGACAACAGCTGACAGGCCGACACAACATAGGAGCGAACGGACTTCAGCTGTGGGGCCTTCAGCTGTGAGGCTTAGTCAATGACTAACGTGAACAGGAAAAGGAAATGTGGACAGGAAATAGTAAACGAGATTTAAAAATAAAGTGTCTTACGAGGAAAATGAACAGCATGTTGCAGAAACGGGTCTTTTTTTCCAGTGATCGGAAGGATCGAGTTTTCGTTTTCAGCTCTGTCTTTAAACTGACCACCAGTATGAAGTATACCTACACACCAAGTGGTATATCAGTCCCCAGCTCCGCTCGACCCCGACCTTGGTCGGGCAGCGTCACAGTCGTCCCGTGACAGATTTGCGTCACACAGAAGACCACGTGACATCTCTGCGTCACAGCAGAATCTGAAGGACGCCGCCCGACGTCAAATCATGGGCAGGAGGCCAGGTAGATGCCGGTCTGACATAGGAACTCAGCCGTGACCCAGTCGCGAACCAACCAGAGCCCGACTGTGAACCGGGGTAGCTTTGATCCAGCCGCGATCCACCCGGTTCTGTTTTAACCCGGCGGTCAGCTTTGATCCAGCCGCGATTCAGGACGTGTGATTTAGCCGTAGATATCCTTACCAAAATTGTACGACACATAAATGACATACAACGATTGGCTGGGCCTTTACCTTCTTCGATTAAAAAAGTCCCATCGTACCCAAATTCTCTCGGCGATCACCCCCCCCCCCCCCACCACCACATCCCTCACTCAATACTCACTTTCTGACGAGGGCCTTGAGGTCCTGCGACCACGTGGTGGGCTGCAGGTTGGACGTGCCCTCACTCTCTCCACGTGGCGGGTCGACCAGCACCACAATCAGCAGGATGACGGCGACGGCTCCCAGGATGGGCGTCACGCGCAGCCCCCACTGCCACTGGCCGGCCAGCGAAGAGGCGCCAGAGCCGACGATGTAGCCCAGACCGCTGCCGGGAGGGAGAGGGGTGGTCAGGAACAGAAGGCGAGACAACATAGAAGGGATGGGAGAAACAGACCAAAGGAAGACGAGACGGGAAGAAGAGGAGAGAGCATGAATGGAAACGAGTATAGTTATTAAACCGAGGGAATGCAGGGAATAATACAGACAAAAGGAACCAACATGAAGAGAGATGATGAATGCAAGTAGATAAAGCGGAAGAGAGGATATATTTGACAATGCAAGCACACATGAGGACATGGACCATACAAGGGAAAACAAAACAGAAAAGTCGAGACGACAGTCGTGTCTGTCTGCACCACAGCCCGTCTATTGGGCTCCATCAAAGGTATGAAAAACTACGTCTTCCTGTGCAGTGTTAGTTACAGACGTGCCTTGTGGCGGCGTTACTCACACACATTGGGTGCGACGGTGGTGACAAAAAGCCCCATTTGATGACGTCAGTGCAGGGGGGATGGGGCGCTCGGCCGCGGCTACGGAACGGGAAGTAACAAGGAACAACACTGAGTGACGGTCATGTCCGGTTTTCCGGGAGAGATTGAGCAGTAGGCAAGACAAGACTGGGAACAAACAGCTGTCACCAACGCTGGGGCTGCTGCAATGCAACTAATGCTACTGTTTCTGCTACTGTATCCACCGCTAGTTGGACTCCACCCCCGTCCTCAGCAGTGCAGTCGTTCTCAGACAAAGGTCCGCAATGGGGCACGATCCACCATCACGGCCGACAAAGCCGCACAAACGGCGTCCAAGGCCCTCGGCGCTGCGCCCGCCGGCTTTACAGACAGAGTCAGCGAGAACGGAGACGGCAAATCAGCACAGACGTGCGCAGTTCGCGATGATATAGAGCCGGGATAGAGGTGGCGCTTTGCCGGGATCAGGGAGTCTGGAGTGCTAGTCATATAAAAGACAGCTGTCATGTGGCGAAGTTGTTGGATGCATATTGCTTGGTTTGATTAAATGCGGAGAGTGTAAGGACGCTGTATGCTCCACTAACCAAAAGCGAATTATAAAAAAAAAATGACTGAAAACTCCGAGACAAAATGAAATAACTCGCCTTATTATGCCTTCAATAGCCTGGTTGGGTTAATACAAATCAGTGAAAGCCCGTTGTTTCGACGTTATTATGCTGCCCTATCACACTAATCGCGGAACTGTGTGTACCAAACGACCATCAAACCTGACGATAGAGATTCAGCCCGGATTAGGTATCAACGAACAAAACAGACACGACGCTTCCCCAATCGAACACACGCACTGGCAATATCAGAACATCCGCGTAAGATAGCATCGAGGACGCGTCTCTTCAGCCATCAGACTGATAAACTTCGCGTGCAGTGGCCTGCCGGGGCTATTGAGAGCGAAACGCCAAACATCGCTGGTGCATGGCTATGCGATGGTACGAACGTATCCAATGTCTCCAGTGATTGAGTACAGATGTAAGAAAGAGCGCTGATTTCGGCCAATTTTCCAGACCCCGTCAAAAGGTCAGGTCTGCGTTTACATTTCATAGCTGGTGCCATCAACGCCCGAACATACACAAACTCTTATAAACATGTGGAGAAGGTAGGTTCGTGCACTAAAATCACATCACCGAGAAGATTTACTAGGAAAAAGTCCTGCTTTGTACTAGCTAATAACCATGGTAACCATGGTAACGGAGAATTCGGCTGCCATAATCACGCATCTACGTTGTTATCAGTCTCCCAACGCGGATCAAAAGCTCACAAATATACAGCACACCAGCTCTAAAGATGCCCAGGACCGAGCATACCGCACTAACAAGCCCTATACATCAAAAATAGCCCACCGACGTGACCAGTGACGTCCTTTTCTGCGCGATAGCCTCACGCACAAGTGTGGTCTGAGTGTCACAATTCGACCACGTCACCACGCACCATACGCACAGGAGACACGCACAACTGGTGATAATTTGATGCTAGGGAGAGCAGTTGGAGCAATTAGCACCCGTACATACTCGGCAATTAGAGCTGTAGTATGTTTACAGGAAGCGATGGTGGACTTTAAACCGTGTCGGCTGGCGCCTGACGCTAGATCAAGGTCGGCCATACTCAGCTGGAAAGGAACAGAGAACGGGAGTGGCTGAGAGCGGTGGGGGATGGGTAAGTTCATCTGTACCGCACAAAGCCAGCTGGTGTACGTGGTAGAAGGCTGGGTAGACTCCCAGGCAGTTGTCGGTTCCCAGGGACCATCAGCGCGGCACGGCAGAGAGACAAACTACACTACCTGTGGTCACTGTAGGACACGAGAAAGGTAATCTAGCCAGCGATACGAGGCAAAAACCGTGTAACATCCCAGAGTCATGAATACCGAGTAACAACACGACCGACCCGGCCCTGCTGCCGCCGTTGGCCACCAATAGCCGACATAGCCAGGAAAGGGAGAAAACGTCATTCGCAGCGTCACCGCGGGCCACTGCAATCATCGGCGTGCCACAGGCATGGACGGAGGCATGGGTGTGAGCGGGGCGAGGTGGGGGCGGAGGCATGGGTGTGGGCGGGGGCGGGGGCGGGCGGAGGCGGAGGCGGAGGCGGGGGCGGGGGCGGGGGCGGTCAGTCAGCGTCGCCACATCCGGCGGCCAGCCATACCAACAGATGGCCGCCAATGCGCCAAATGGCACCACATCATAACGCCAAATCGGATCAAAACCAGTCCGAGCGAGGGCGGGCATTGTCGAAAAGACTCCAACGCTGAACCTTCGAGCAGCACAGCATGTTTGAAGAGCATATTGGGATGAGCTTATGATGAGAGACTGCTGCTAAACTACAGTGGCTATAAGCGAGACTGAGTGATGGGAGGATAACGAGAATTGACGGACATAGTTAAATGTTTTATATTATGAGCGAATAGAATGACTCTCAGGAATCATGCTGTTACCGCTTAACCATAACGTCATACAAGCGTGTCCCCTGATGAAAGGACAGCTGATAGGCGCTAAAGCACTGTACATACAGGCACGTCAATATACCGCACAGAAGACCGGCAACAAAACAAACAGCTCGAAAGGTCGACCACCGCTGGGCCGCCGGGCCGCTACTATGCTACGACATAGGACAAATAGACGGCATACGACAAATAGACATAAAGGTCATCAGATGGCGAGCGAGAAAGGCGAACGTTACAATCAAAACTTACAATTGTTCGTAACTTATGATGTGTTCATCAAAAGTAAGTAAGGTTATTGTTGATGTCAGAGGGATCACTAGAGATTGGCCTTTCTCATTTCAATTTAACCTCACATCAGAGGACAGTGAAAAAAGTTCTCAAGGTGGAACAGAGAGCAATAAAGGGATCGAGTGTGAGTGAGCACACGAGCGTAAAAGTAACCAGGCAACAGTGAGCGAGGGAGAATGAACACGACCTCGACCACAGTTCCAAAATGTCACCAACTTCAACACGTCCAGCATCTCGGCCTACCTGCCGATGGGGATGGCGAAGTAGAAGACGGCCAGCATGATGGAGCGCAGGTCCTTGGCGAACATATCGGAGATGAGGGTGGGTGCGATGGTCGAGTAGCTGGCCTCGCCGATACCCACCGCGGCACGCATCAGGATGAACCCGGTGAACGTCTGTGGGTAGAGAGTGGGGAGGTGGGTCAGAGCAGAGGTCAGGGGACAGGGAGGAGTGGAGAAATAAAGCATCTCGACGGAGCCACTCAGACATTCGTATTGCACAATGAACGTTTATTTTAAGTAATCGCTAGAATGGAACACAGACATTATAAATCACAACTCCCGTACACGCAGTGCTGCGTAGTACAGTGCACACCTTCAACTAAGTTAAGGACAACATAAACTGATAGCCGAATACGGGAATTAGTAAACTGAGTTAGCCCGCCACATACAAAAGCGTATTACAGTGCATCATACCCAAATAAGTTAAGCACAAATGCAATGTAAATGTAAAGCTAAATGTAATGTGTGGAAATGGTCGAGTGCGGACTATCCTGACAACTCGCGGGTTCGACAACAAACCCAGGGAGAGGGTGGGGCGGAAAAGTACGGAGAGAGCTGAGAGATAACGCGAAGAGAGATCGGCGTCCCTCTCTCCCATAACCGCGCCCAGCCGGCTGCGGCCGCGGCCTGTGCACCGGCACCGCTGCAGCCTCGCCCCAGGGCTGGGCCGGCCCAGCACCGCACAGACCCCACCAGCAGCCCGGGGCGGACCGGTCAGCATTCAGCCGGCCAGCATCTAGCCAGCCATCGTTAAACCCCATCAGACACATGAACATGCAATGGACATGGAGTGCAGTGAAGCGCTGTGCGGTCCGGTTTTGGCCGGACTTCACCGTGAAGCGTGCTCTGCAGTTTTATGCAGGGCGAGGCCGAGCAGGGCCTACGTGTGGATGGTGGAAATCGGGTCATGGCGATTATAAAAGCTCGTTTATTTTCGAGGTTCTGCTGACACCATGGGGACCGGAAATAAAGCTACAATGTAACTGAAATATTCACTAGGCAGGGGATAGTGTACTCGTATGCACAATACACACTCCACATGGCAAAAGGAGCCTAAAATAGCAAGTTTTGCACGCTCCGCGGCTATAGTTAGTTGACTGGGTGTGGTTATGAATGGGATGGGTACCGCGCTCTATCCGCGCTTCATTCAAGATCTCCGTGCTCTTTCCGCAACAAAGGTGACAGATAAAAAGCAGCATAACGTTTATCCAAAACCGAATACAATCTCCGTCGACTAAGAGCATAAACGCATCGCCCCGAAGCGAGTCTCCTGACAGCACTACCATCCACCTGACCTCATATTCGTGTCACCCCTGTCCCCTTTACACTGCCCACCCAGGGCGGCACCGGACCACCCCTCCGTCCATTTGGCATCCACTATATCCACCGTCCAGGCGCCCTTGAGGCCGACCCAGCCGGCCGCTGACAGCGCTATCTTTGGCCCACCGGCCAGCCGGCCGGCTCTGCCACACCTGCAATCTGCACGGAAATCTGCCGGACCGCCGGCCGTCTCCCAGAGACCGGGCCGGAGCGTAACGGCCTCTGACGTCACTGGAGCGGCACGGACTCTGACGTCACTGGTGACAGTGATGCTTTAAGTGACAGAAAAGCCCAGCAACGAAGACAGCAGGACTGACAACGAGTGATAATAATAACTAACATGATCCGGACTCCGTAAAGCTCTGAAGAGAACAAACTACTGCTTTCAGACTGAACTATTCGTTTGCCAGCATTCGGCAACCATAGCCCCAAACCTGAAGACCAAATACCTAACTCATATTTATTCACCTTTAGTCTCGTGCCGACCAGCAACAAATCATCAATACATAACTCTTCTATAGCAACGTGAATGAGTTCAGCATCCATGAATACAGCATCCGTACTCCTTTTTCAGACGCAACAAGGCAGGGCCGACAACAGCCTTGAACCCTGACTGTCTTAGCAACAGCGCAGTCGCAGCCGACCCATTGGTGTGCCAGATACGTGATGCACTTTATGGCATGCATTTTTGTCGCAAAGATGCAGTCCCGGCATGGCGACAGAGAAGCAGCCCCACGGCCATATTCTACGACGCGTGGTAGTTCGTTAGCAGAAGAATGCATCACATGATGGTACGAGCGTCACGAGACACTACACGTATCACGTGACAAGAGTCACATGCCGTTATACCGTTACGATGGAGCGTGTCTCGACCACCACATCGGCGCGACAGCCGAGCGGCGAAAATAGCCACGCGGACACGGAGCGGACAAGACGCCTACAGCTCGATCGCCGGCGTGCCAGTGCAGCGCCAGCATGGGCTGACCTCGGGCAATGTACCGAAATAGGTGACACCTTATCACAACGGCTACATCCGAGGCGGAATATTGAGCAGCGAAGCCTCATAAGTATTAAGCTTCTTCCGTAGGAATACCTACATACGGTGACAGAACAGTCTGTCAATAGAAAAAAAAACTTCGGCATTCCTGGCTCTTACGAAAGTTTGCATCATGCCTGCGTCGAGTACCAGTCTCAACCGGGTGCCAATTTTCCGGAAACCGGCAGCTCTACCCCTGAACTATTTCCATCCCCGATCGAGCTCGGTTTTGGGGCGTGGTTTTCGATGTCGTTCCACCCGGCTGCGCGTGGCCGGGACGCTCCGCCTTCCGACATCACGCCACTGGGCAACGGGCGGGGGCGGGGGCGGGGGCGGCCGTCGGAGCCGACGTTGACGTCATCCCCGCCGCCGCCGCCGCCGCCACGTCGACCGCCACGTGCGGGCGGCGCTGACCGCGGCGAGAGGAGACCGCGCACGGCACGGCAGAGACCCCGGCCAAAACCGTTCACCACTGACGTCATAGATACAACACATGACTACTCGCCGACAACAGACGGCGGCGGTCGGCCCGGTCCGTTACCAATGACGTCATAATGACACACAGCTACGCAGGTAAACAGCGGACGGCGAAGCCCGAGGAACGCCGCGCCACCCGGCGTGAGGGCGGGTGGGGTAGGAGAGGGGTGAGGTTAGCTCCAGACGGACCGGCGCCAATCCCGGCCGGGTCCACTGACTGGAGGGCAGCCACCGCTGAATCACCCCAGGGCGTGTCCGCGAGCCCGGCACGCGAAGTGAGAGGCCCGGGACTAGCCCCGTGGGCGGCCCCTCTCGGCCCACCAGTCAGGGTCAGCGTCCGGCACGGTGCCTCATCGTGCGGAACTCACAGCCCGGCCGGAGTCGAGAACAGGTCTGGAGCTCAGTCGATCCTCGGAGGGGGGGGGGGGGAAGGCCAGGTCGGCGACCGGTCCCGTAATGAATGCTGGCTCGCGGTGCCGTCTGCAGGTTTAGAAGCGCGATCAATCCCAAAGCAGGACACCACACCTATGCAGACAGGCAACACGGAATAGGATGATCCGAGCAAAGCTGTTGCTCCGCTTCGCAAAAGTACTCCGCAAAATTTGATGGAGATATCAGGGATACTTGTGACGAACTTGTAACGAATCAGTGACGAACGATTTCATCATATTTAGCGAAGAGCAGCTACCTTAAAAAAAAACCTTGCAAAAAGAGTAGGACCAACAGAAAGATCGAAGTCCAGTCTGCAACAGTCACCAAACGCAACAGCTTCAATCCAGATCGCAGCAGGCGATCGACATATCCCACCCGGCATCGAGCGGACTATCGAGCATCCATCGACCAGGCGTGCGATCACGTGCCGGAGCAAACCGGACACCGACGCACATCCTCCCCATCCCCTTCCCATCGGAACTGGCCGGCCCCGGTCCGGCGCCGCGCCGGTCCGAGTTCGTTCACACGGCGGTCACCTGCCCGGAGCACGCAGGATGATGGGCTCGAAGGGAAGCGGTTGAAACTCGACGGAACGGATGACATCCCAACATTTTTGACCGGGAAGGTTGCTCAAGCTCTTACTAACTAGAGCAGGGCAGTTGACCGGGCTGAGCGCCGCTCGCTGGCAGCCGCCCCTGCGTGCGCTCTGTCGTTTTACCAGTTTTTTTTCCGCGGAAATAGTGCCAGTGTGCTTTCAAGTATCAGCGATGTCGAACAGTGCTAGCTTCGGCAATGCGTGGTGATTTTTCGCTCGTCCCTCATCTTGTGGGCTTGCGAATAATATTCAAGTTTTGTTTTACTCTTCATGACAATCGAAAGCCTTGCCATGGCCCTCGTTTCGTTCGACCAAAATTCTACCGGTTTTAGAAGAGCTCCACCAGCCAATCACACGGCTCGGTCGTCGTCTACCGCCGCACGTTCCACCGCCGTCGACTCCGACGGTCGTCGGACACTCGGACCAGGGGAGAATCCCTCATGGACAGACCCATTAATCTCTCACCCAGCGGCGGAGTAAGGAGGCACTGCAGGGGGAGACGGGCCGGCCGCCACGTCCAGGCGCGCCGCAGACGTGCCATAGAGCACGAGCGGTGCCCGAGCCGCGGCCGTGTCCTGATCCCCCTAACAGGCAGCCCCGGACTCGTCCATGCAGGACGAGACCGGACGGCTGAACCCCGGGCTGGGCCGGGCCTGCCAGCGGACAGCAGCCGGCAGGAAGGCGTTGGGGCCAGTGGGGCCCGCCGTGTAGAGCGCCACCCTTCACTGGGAGAAACCAACCGACGTCTACCCCGGCACACTCTGAATATCGGTCATTCAAACGTTCGCTCTATCGTACCGAAGCTTAATGAAATCAATCAACTGTTAACGCAACAAGATTTGGACGTTTTATGCGTGACGGAAACATGGCTCTCAAAACCCGTTCAGAGCAGAATCTTAGCTTTCCCCGGATATCAGATCATAAGAAGAGATCGGCTATCCCAACCCGAAACGGGGCAGAGAGGTACTGCTCGTGGAGGTGGTGTGGCTATCATACATCGTGAGGAGCTGACTACTAGTGTTCTGCCAATCCCTGCAGCCGGGCCTTGCGAGACTCTCTGGCTCAGCATCAGCGGCAGGGGTCTTCGCTCGGTCACAGTCGGCGTGGTGTACCGAGCACCATCCACATCGGTGGCCAGCGCTGTCGACGACCTCCAAGATCAGCTAAAACACGCGCTCGGCTACGGAAAGCCAGTTTTTTGCTTGGGCGACACAAATATAAATTTATTGCAACATGACGCTCCTGGAGTACGTCAGTACAAAGCCGCCTTGAACGAACTGGGTCTAACTCAACTAGTCACCGAGCCAACACATCTAGAACCCTCTACTTCACTCATCGATCACATCATCAGCAATGTTCCGGATCAAAACGCTTCAGTCCTAACATCATCTGACCAAATCGCCGATCACCTCACAATCATCGTTCGAGCACAGCTCCGTCGTCAGAGCCGTCGGCCGTCCCCGTTCAAGGCACGTCCCTGGCGGAAAGTGAATTGGGATGCCGTTTGCCTATCTTTGCTACTATCAGACTGGGGTGAAATGTACAGCGCGGATAGCGTGGACAAGAAATTAGCCGCTTTTCTAAATCTGTGGTGGAAGGTTGTGGACACTCACTGCCCCCTAAAAACTGTAACCCCTCGTCGACCACGGTGCCCCTGGATAGAGGATAATGAAGAGCTTAAACAACTCATGCGTGAAAGAGATACGGCTTTCCGTACATGGCAACGTTCTCGATCCGTCGATGATAGAGATGTGTACCGGAGATTGCGGAACCTTGTGAAAGGGCGTCTATTAAAAAGTAAACGCGACTTTTTGTCAGCTCACTTGTTATCTGATCGACGATCTTTTTGGCGCAACATATCTGAATTTGCGGTGCGTCCTGCGTGTGGGGGTAAAAAAGGCATATGTGGGATGCCGACAGAACAGGCAGATGAGTTCAATCGTCATTTCGCCACCGTCGGATCGAAAATTGCTGCGGAGCTGGCCGTCAGCGGTCCCTCTCGGCTCCCGCCAAGGCCGCCGCGTGTGACGTCAGCGGGTCTGCGCCTGAAGCCGGCTACACTATCAGAACTGTCTTTGGCGTTGCGAAAGTTGTCTGCATCTAGAGCAGTGGGGCATGACGGTGTGCCACTACACGCAATCAGAGCATGTTTTCCTGTGATTGGTCCACACTTGCTGCATATCGTGAATGCATCGATAATATCATGTCATTTTCCATTATCATGGAAACTCGCGACCGTCGTACCACTTCATAAGTCCGGCGACATAGATAACCCGAGTAATTTCCGGCCCATCTCTCTCCTGTCGGTGCTCTCGAAGTTATGTGAAAAAGTTGTTTGTATGCAGCTGTCGTCCTTTCTTGCTACTAATCACCTGTTGGTCAATTCGCAATATGCATATAGAGCTGCTCACTCGACGGAGGATGCTTTGACCGATGCTATCGAGTGGATGACGCGGCGCATCGACGAGGGTGACATCGTAGCTGTAACTTCAATTGACTTGAGCCGCGCTTTTGATAGCGTTGATCACGACGTCCTCCTTACGAAACTCTGCTGGTATGGAATAGATCCGAATTGGTTCCGAAGCTACCTGTCTGGTCGGCAACAGGTAGTGAGAGGCGGGTCTCTATCTTTGCCTCTGTCTCACGGTGTTCCACAGGGCTCCTTAGTTGGTCCCATCCTCTTCAGCATCTTCACAAATGATCTTCCAGCATATGTTCCCCACGGACGCTTGGTTTCTTATGCCGACGACACACAGTTACTAGATTCCACCGACCCCGCATCTCTGTCTACCCTAAAAGCGAGACAGGAGGAAAGCCTCAGTGCTGTTCTCAACTACTTCACGTCAAACTCTTTGAAAATGAACCCATCGAAGACTAGCCTTCTCATTTCTAGCACCCCCCAGAACCTGAAGAAAGCCTCAGCTTTCCATTTAAACCTACCGGGACATGTACTCAAGCCATCTTCTCAAGTGAAGATGCTAGGTGTAACCATTGATCCCAGCCTATCCTGGGAAAAGCACATTTCCAGTGTCGTCAAAAAATACAATGCCGTCCTTATTTCTCTCTACAAAATTCGACATCACCTCTCAGCTGATGTTTTGAAACTTCTCATTCAATGTCATGTCTTCCCCCACATCATTTACTGCCTCTCAGTCTGGGGCGGGGCTGTAGGTTGTCACCTCAAGCGGGTGCAGAAAGTCATTAATTTCGCAGCTAGAATCGTATCTGGGGCGAAACACCGTGATCACATTTCCCCCGTGTTGTCTGCACTGGGCTGGCCCAAAATCACGGATTTAGTCACCTATCGCGACAACATTCGTGTTTTCAGAGCGCTGAAGGACCCGCTCGCTCCCGCGGCATTACGCACTTTGTTCACAACACGGGCGGCTGTGTCTGCGCGCGCCACACGTTCCACGCTGTCGGGTGCATTAGAGTTACCAAATTATCGCTTATCAATGTCGAGACGAGCTTTTTCCTACCGAGCGGCAACCTCCTGGAACCACCTCCCACCCTCCACCACTAGCTCTGGAACACACGCTGAGTTTCTTCGCCACCTTGCTGCCTAGCGCTTTTGCCTTCTGTCATATCCGTGAAAATTGTGACGCGCTGGCTGCTCTGCACTCATCAGTCTACTGCGGCAGTGTTTGTGCATGTGTGCGTGTACGTGTGTGTGTGGGGGGGGGGGGGGACGGGCTAGGTGTACCATGTCTTTTGTGTGTGTGATCGAATCAAATACTAAACCATGCAATGGAATGATTCGAAATACATTGAACATATCAATAGTTGTGAGGCCGACAGCTACTGGATATAATATATAAAAAAAGAACATATCCAAACGGCAGAGTCGTCGAATTGCATCCAATTGTATGATTCAATGATCGATCCTCCTGAATCATTCTCGCCCTGTTTAGTCGCGGGGTTTCGCTCCTGAGCCATCAGAAGACCGTAGGCGCCGGCCCAACCCACGTGGGAAGGTCGCCCGCCCCTCCCCTTTCCTCAGACACGGTGCCGTCCCAGTTTTCCGCGGCCGTACGGCTTGCGCCAAGTGCCGCGTGGCCGGCGATCAATCGGCGTCGGCCCCGCCCACACCGTGACGTCACCGCTGGCGTGACTCTAGCGGCGGCCTCTGATTGGTCGGCGAGGCCGGCGCCGCCGGCTGTCGTGTGATCGCCGCGCGCCGGCCGGCGTTTTACGCGCCGCGCGCCGTGAACCGCGATGAAGAATGGGGAGGGGGCGTGACCCAACCTGGTCCGGTGTGACCCGAGGCTGACCTGAACCTGCAACTGACCTCCCGTATGCAATTCACTGGCGATCCAGCACAGCCGAATGGTTGCACAACCGTCAGATAGACCCGAAAACTGACCGTAGCATCCACGTGTTTTGCATGGACCCTAAACCGAATAAGTACTATACTAATGAGCGTTATGAAATGCCTTCGTTCCAGCCAAATCTGGGGTGACCCCGGATCTCGGTTTTGAATAGCGACCACCAGCCGGGATGGACCAGCGTCAGGACGGATCAGGATGGCAGGTCGCCCGGCAGCGACCGTGGCCGACTGCCGAGTAACGGATGGCATCAACTTATGTTTCATCCTGAAGCCAAATTAGAAACATCAACAAACTGTTGACCACTGGCCAGCACCCATTTCAGGAGCTATTTTGGGGGTTGGCTACAGATTAGCAGCTGAAGTGGCTGGAAATTGACTGTGAAATGAGGATGTGATTCCTAACTCAGTCTTAGGTTGCTCAAAGAGTTACTGGTTTGTGCTTACCTCCATAAATGATCCAAGCAGTGTAGTCAGTGACCAGATGAACACCCCCAGAGCCATGATCCACTTCCTGTTGTACCGGTCACCGAGGAACCCAAACAGAGGAGCAAATATCATGTAGGAGACTATGAACACAGTCTGCAGCAGTCCAGCCATTGAGTCGTTGACCCCATAGTGGTCCTGGATCTCAGTCAGGATGCCTGAAAACACAAAATAAAAGCATGTCAAGGTTTGAGCTTAGCAATTATCTGCAGCAAAACATGGTTAAAAATACATGATTTGAGATTTAGTCTCATTGCAAAAAAAAAAACTGAGATAGCAATTGAGATGAAAAGGTCCAGAGTTGGTGATCCAGCTCTGCATTATACCTGAATTTGTGTGTAGAGATTGACAAATACAAAATGTTTACAGAGCTGCTGCACCTAGCAATTGCACTCACCAGCCACTGTGAACCGGTCCATGTAATTGATCAGATTTATAAAACAGAGAATAGCAACAGATATGCCTTGCTGGGCTGTTATTCTTCTTCCTCCTGAGGCAGCTGATGATGCTCTTGTTGGAGTAACTTCCCCAGATGGAGTTGAAATGAATTTCACATCTGGGATCTCATTTTTCACAAGTGCTTGCTGTGATATATTTGGTTTGACTCCTCCCTCCGCCATGGTTGTTTCTGATTGACAGGTAATCTTTATGCTTTAGAGTAACACAGAGCAGCAGATACTCTAATTGTGAGCGATCTTAAATATTTAGATTCTGTGGATACTTAATTGAAAACTTGTCAAATATAAATCCAATTGACTTCAAATCAAGCTTCAGCTAAAGCCGGTGATTTCTTGAACGCCCTTCTCTGTTTATCGAACAGGGAAACAGCAAACGTTTTACAGTCTCTTCCAAACGATTTTGCAGGTCACAGCGACCGCACACGCCTGGTCACACTCAGGAAGCGTCAAGCGACTGATTCCAGATCCTAGACGGCACACCAGCGCTCCCCCCACCTCGCCGTTAGGAACTGGAATGACGCCAACATGGATCTCAAGGATCGGTCTAAAATCCAAACGGTATCGATGTAGGGTATGAGAAAAAGCCATAATATATGACGTAATATGAAAATACTTGACAAATGTCTAGTTCCAATGTCTTAAAAATAAATTACTTATAACATTAACCGGGATATAATTGTATATATTTGAAACAGTTACTAACTTTGTCAAGAAGTATAAGATTTTTAGGAGTAAATCTACAAATGACGTAGTTTGATGCTTGCCCCAGAGCTGCAACATTTTTACAAGCCCAGACCGGCAAAGAAGTGGTAAGATTTGGTAACTATTGCGCTCAATATGACCGCGATTGCAACGTGGTATTTGCGTTTTGAGTTTGGAACTAATTCAATATAAACTGGTTTGGAACATGTCTCCACTTTCAACATTGATTTCTGCGCAAAGAATAGGTACAGTGTAAGTGTAAATGGTGAGCTGACGCCATCTGTTGAATGGTATATCAAATACCGCGATATCTGTGTCGATTAGGGCGACACCTATTGCCTGCTACACAGTCCACGTACGATAATGGTTGACTCAAGGCGACTACATCACCGACAAACTAAAGACTACATCACCAGACACCAACCGTTCATGAACCTACCAATTTGAAAAAGCTAAAAAAGTAGAATCTAAAAATGTTCGAGGACCGAGGTATAGGTTTCCCGTACTTGGAAAATAAAAGTAGCCATGTAGTAACGTGACGTGTAGTACCGCTCAAAGGCGTAGCATAGGAGTGGACAAAAGAAGTGCCTACATAGGCAAATGCTCATATGCGCAGACAGCTACGTAGGGTGTAAGCAATACATTTCCTAATATCTACAGAAGGACATAAGCTCGTTTAGTTTAAAAAAAATGGCCTGACCTAGCGTTACCAAACTAACCAAACCTATTTTGATGTCTCCACTTACTTTGCGCCCTACGTACATTTGCAATAAACACTTTTGTTTGTACATTTGTCATACCAACGAACATTTACAATACCTACGTACTTTTGTCCGTAACCCATTTATCATGCATATTCACCCAGATCGATTTGTTTTACACTCCACTGCTATAACATTCGACTGCGACCGTACCTGCCAATGTATTTGAGACCAGCGCAGCAGCTCGCACCAACTACACAACATGTCGTTCTCTGGGCATGAAGCTCATCTCTAATGAACTGAAACACGGTACAGAACATGATGGCAACACTGAATTATGGTGACCGGCGCGCAGCCGAACCGAGATTCACAGTTCATGTCCTCACTGTCAGACCACAGCGGGCCGAAGGACGTTCAGCGGAGCCGCGGTGACGTCATCGGAGGACCACGCCACCATGGGATCGGATGGAGTGACGTGCGCAGAACAGCACAGAGAACAGCAGCGATCCCAGAGCTCCCAGACATCGTCCCTATTGCACAAACTACAGCGACGCCAGCATGAGACATACCTACCCTATGGCACATACTGGGATATCTTGCGCCTCAACACGCGTCGCACGCAAGCTCATACAAACAGCAACTTGCGTGGCCAGGCACGCAGCATGCACACGCGCACAAATGAGCTTCACAGAAAGCACGGAGGTGGGCCGCTACTTGGTCTTCTTGGCCTCGATTTTGCGGAAGCGCGGTAGCTCGTCCTTGCACTTCTGGTAGACGTTGTTGAGGTCGAAGGCCGCCACCACGTTATCCTGTCGGGCAGAGCGGTGACAGATGTAAGAGACGAGCGCCGGACGCGGTGCGAGAAGTGAATGCCAGTCGTGGCTGATCTGCGCTGATAAGTGCTGGCTATATTACTGTCAGTTTGGTCTTAGATGATAGTTATACAAGAGCGGCCCTCCATGTAAGCATGATAATGTGTGAAGAGCAAGAAAAATATGGTCGTTATTTTGGTACTGCCGAATGCCGATACTGCTATCAACATTTTTACGAACATCACTTTGGCATTCCACATAAAAATGTTGCAATGCAATGCAATTATCACTTGCAATTTTCACGATACTGACCATTTCACAGAACACAAAACGAACCCCCTTGACCAGATGTTGGAGCCACGCGGCTGTCCGCCTACCTGTGTGAAGGTGAAGGGCACCAGGCGACCCTTCTCGTCAAAGCCGGGTCGCCGGGTGACCTCCTGGCCCCCATCGAACAGCACCACGGTCGGCAGCTGGCGGCTGAAGCTGGACGTGCTGATGCGGTACTTCTGGGCGGCGTCCGGGTGTCGCGTGACGTCCACCTTACCGAATACGAGGTTATCCAGCGCGTACCTGGGGTATGAAGGAAACACAAAGGTTATCCAGCGCGTACCTGGGGTGTGAGAAAACAAACAGGTTATGTAGTGCGTACCTGAGGTGTGAGACAAATTGGGGAAACAAATATAGGTTATCCAGCGCGTACCTGGGGTGTAAAACAAACAAACATGTTATCCGGCGCGGCCATGTGAAGGAAGAAGAACTCAGGTTATCCAGCGCGTACCTGGAGTATGGGACGAACAAACAGGTTATGTAGTGCGTACCTGAGGTGTGAGACAAATCAGCAGGTTATCCAGCGCGAGAACAAGACGTGAGACAAACATTAGGTTATCAAGCGAAGCGACACTTAAGACACGGGTAATACAAACAACGGGTCATCCAGTGAGTGCCAGAGACAGAGGAAAAACAAGCAGTAGGTATCCAGCGGGAGCATGAGACGTGGGACGAACACTTAGAGTATTCCCGTGTACCCGTGACACGGGACGCCTGTCAAACAAACAGCAGTAGCTCAGCACGCCCCTCAGACACGGAACACAACATCAAAACGTTATCCAGTTATCCACTATCCAGTATCACGCTTGTGCACGGAACATCAGCATTAAGACACAGGGCGCTAGAGACAAAATAAAATATGTTGAGCTTGCCTCCGACGAGTACCTACGGCTACGCATGAGATTATTCCGAATGAAAAGTTCATTATGGCTGATCAATTATCTTAGGACGCCATTTAATTGCGTCCCAGAAAAGCTATTTCTGGCACCTAAAAGCTGACTCGCCCCAAAATTGGTCCTCAGCACCTATTTGGTGGATACCAGCACCAATCATGGAAAATGACCTTAATTAGCTGTTTCTGGCACCTATTCATCGGTACGCCTTACTCTTTTTTCTGAATCTGGCACCTAAATGCTGAGCATAGCACCAATCTAGTAGAAAAATGAACTACTGGCTGGTAGAATCATGTTGTTCTGGTATAATGACCCCTGGAGTCTAGCCTAAAGGTTGCCAGTGCAGCTACACTCTAAGACAGCCCCGTAGTGATCTCAGCATTGTATATGACGTTTAAGTAAGCAAATAATATTGATTTGTTTGAAAAAACAATGTCATTTAAATATTTAAAAGCATTTATTTGTAATGCTTAAAGGGAAACATTTTTGTGAGTAATTGTCTCGATTTTGACCATTAAAACGGGTATTGTATTTTTTGACGTCATCAAAGAGCTCCAAAAAAGAAATGTAATGTTTTCATCCCGTTCAAGGCCGCTGAAGAAACGCGGGATCTTGCGTGGGACATTGTCCGTTGTTTGCCGCGCAGAGTTGTGCCGTGGTTGTGCCTTTTTCATCCGTTTCTTACTTATGTCATATGTGTGCATGAAGCTTTGATTTTGTTTTTGGTTATTGTGTGGCCGGTCAGTCAAACGCCCCTGTAGAAACCGGATGCTGCGTTTGATCGAGATGGAGTCAGACGATGATTGCAGAAAGCTGATAATATTGAAAAGAGGGCCGGTTGCGTGGCATGTCTGTTCAGAGTTTACATTTTGCTTTACTCCAGTTTATGACCTGAGAGCCTGGCTGGAAGTGACGGATCCAAACTTTTCACGTTAAAATGGCCGAGGGTGCAATAATCTCTAGTCTCTACATAGCGGGCTGGTATACGAGCGTCTTGCTATGCTGCACCATAGCTGGCTAGTGATTCTCTTTTGGCTAGAAATGGCATTAATCATTATCTCCACTGGCGAAAATGGCACTTGACATCACCGAATGCAACGTTCATGTTTGTTAGGATACATAAAATCAGAAAGATTACGTGAATTAGGTAGGCAAACGTGGAATAAAATAGGTGCTGGATGTTTTGGTTTTGGTGCTGAATCAGCAAACAGCAAATACGGAGTTCAACTAGACGATCTGGCAACTTTAGGCTGTGTGGAAGCAATTAGGTGCCAGATTCAGATATTAGGGTCGAATAAGCATTTTGGGGCTGATCAGCAATTAGGTGCCAGAAACAGCTTTTTAGGGACCAGAAACAAATATTCCCCATTATCTTATGGTACTGAGAAATGGTCCGAAATAACTGTCCGATCTCCAAGGTTTTTGTATCGATTTAATTGCTCAGCTGCCCAAATTGCCCCCAGGAAGCCCCTGTCACCTCCCCTATATGATCCGACCCGCTCGAATCACTCACGATCCCGATAGACGCGAGAACACGTTGGCAAAGTTGACCGACGACGGGAACCAGGTGGCGAAGAAGCAGACGAAGAAGGTGGTGTTGCGCTGCGTGGTGAGCTGCTCCTCCAGCTCCTGGTAGGAGAAGTAGGTGACCTTCTCCGGCGCTGAAGATACCGGCTCCGGGAACCACACGTACGCCACTGAAATGGGGAGAAAGGGCGGGGAGGGTGGTGAGATGCAACATGAGACTAGGGGGTGATGTGGGGGAGGGGGAGACGCAACAGATAGGGGAGGAGAATACAGTGAGGAGCAACAGGAGAGGGTCACTGCAGTGAGACTCAACAGGGAATATTGGGGGAGGGGAGAGGGAGACGTGACGGTTCGCCTGGAGAAACAGCGACAGAGCGTGCGATTACTTACTGTGAAATTATCCGAATGGCTTGATTAGGTACCTTACCACATAGGAAGTCCCAAATTGGCAGTTGGCTGGCATGACTAAACCTATTCACTTTAGCGCTCAACACGCTCCCCCTGCCCCCCCCCCCCCCCCGAAATAATCACCAGCTCACATAGCCACGTGACCACAAAATTATTCCAGTGGATGCTCTTTCAATCGCGCAATAAGAGCTACTCTGTGATTCCCGCTGTTAAGTGTATATCTAACGCTGAACATTTACCAGCCTCTCACTCACTTCTTCAGGTGACCCTTCAGTACAGGGGACCCAGACCAAGGTTCGAAGCCCAAGATTCGCATTCATAACCGACGGTTCGTATGCAAGGGCTCGTATCAGGTAAGATTCGTATGGGATGAAGTCTGTAAGGGCGTGGAAAAGATTCGCATCAGATAAGGTCCGTACGTCTGAGGTACGAAGGGGAATAGAGTTCGGTATGGAAAAAGTTCGCATGCCAACTGGGTTCGCACCGTAAGAGATTCCTAAAGTAAAAGGATCGCAACAAACCCTTGCGCATACCAAGCTAGTTTACGAACCTTCGTACAGGAAGCCCCTAAAGTGGGCAGCTGCCACTGCTATCCGTCACTTATCCCTAAATCACTATCCCAGCTAAGATCGCAAAACATCCAGCACACCAACATGACTCAACTCACTAGTGGCCAGCACCAGGTAGATGATGCCCTTCACAGGGTCAGAGTAGAACCAGAGCACCAGGTTGAGTAGCTTCATGTAGGTGTAGGTGGTGCTCAGGTAGGGCAGGAGGCCGCGCTGCCCAGTCTTCTTCGTCTTGGCCCAGATCACTACTGCCACGAAGAACAGCAGTTTGCTTTCGTTCTGTGGAAACACAGTGCAATGTCAGAGAGAATGACCACATCTTATGACTAACAGTTCAACAATTTTGATCCCTACAAAGCGTAACCACTTCATCTGCATAGCTCTGAAGTTCGAAGTTTATAGGTACACTTGGCAATCATGCAGTAATCAACTAAAAATCCATGCACGGAAAACAGCACACATTTCCGATTTGATTATCTAACAGTGAGATCACAAAACAATTTGCAGAACTCGTACACGACCCGAGCGCACAGCTCCATACGCCCCTCAACTAAAAGCTCCAACCAATGAAACTCACATCAGAGAGCTCGCAGGGCTCTGGTCCGTGGAACACGTACTCGCACACCACCGGTGTCAGCTTGAAGACGAGGAAGGAGCATGCGAGCAGCACGTTCAGCACGTGGTGTGCCGACACCATCACCCTCCAGTCGGACCACATGTTGGACGCTCTTCAGCTGGCTGCGGTGAGAAGTAGCAGTCACAGACGCGCTCCAGAGAAACTGTGGAGAGGGAGGGGCGTTAAATGATCAAACTGTGGCACTGGCGTCTCCTTCAGCAGAGGAAGTTTCCTGGAGTGGATGTGGACGAAACTGTGCTTGATCAGGCCGAGGATTCTGTTGGCCTCGCCAACGCCGGTCGCCGCCTGCTCCCTGAATTTAAGCAGTCTGTCCATCTGGACTCCCAGGTCTCTTTCCATATATTCTATGTCATCTATCAACAGTATTTAATCAAGTGCCCTCGATCGTGTACTCCGCCCGCACGTTTTGGCTGCCCAGGTGAAGCACTGTGGACTTGGATGGGTTGAATGGCAGCTTCCACTTGTGAGACCAGGCCGCCAGGGCGCCCAAATCCTGCTGGAGCTTCCTGCAGCTGATCTCGGTGCCGACTCCGACGTACACCTTCGCATCATCAGTGAGGAGCTTGCATGCACTCTCTATGCAGCCAGGTAGGTTGCTGACATGGGCGTCGCCACGAGGGGGGATGGGGGGGATGCCGTCCCTCCCTGGAGTGAGGTTGGGGGGATTATCCCCTCCTCAAATTGAATGTCAATCGAAGTTGTCGAGCTGCTTTTTTCAGTTAACTCCGATTAAATTATCCGAATGGCTAGGATTTGAATGCTAGGATGCATTGAAAAGATGATGCTGTCAGATTTTATGACCATACATGGTCATCACTCCACCCACTCTAGCCGTTGATTGGCTGATCCAATTTTTGTTTGGCTCCTCATAGTTTCCCCAACTGAACTTAGGCTCCGTCTCTCAGTTGGGGAAACTACGAGGAGCCAAACAAAAATTGTGTAGAGTTCGGAGTGTTCGACGTAGGTATCAAAATTTCATTTTACAGAGCACCGAATTTATAGTCTTGTGAAAGTTTAACTCATACAAAACAAGCATGAATTAAAGTATATAACATAAGACAATCTTGCTTGAATTTACGTGAATTGTGCCCGTCTAAAAACAATATCAAAACTAGAACACATAGCCGGAAACTACATCTTTTGAAATAACATTTTTCCTTTCAAATTATTTAACAGACGGAGCACGAGAAATTTAGGTCGTAAAAAGGCGCAACCTGATTCCGTGCTGAAACTAATGCAGCACCGCCTCTTTACCCCCTCCCCCGTTTCAGCACGATTGATTCCGTGCACGTCATCAATGATGATCACAATATTCAACAATGATTTCACAGATAAGACTGCTACGATGACGGGGTATGAAAACATGTCACAAGAAGATAAACTTTGGAAGACCAAGGTAGAAGGGAGTGTGCAATTGAAGAACGGTAGTTATGAAATAGCCCTTCCGTTTAAGGCTGAAAGCGTTCGGCTTCCAAATAACAGAGCCCTAGCAGAGAGACGAGCCATAGGTCTCAAAAAGAGACTGGAAAGAGACCCAGCCCTCCACATTCGTTACACTCAATACATGAACGGGCTATTAGAAAAGGGTCACGCCGAGCCAGCGTCAATGGCATATCCTCCAGAAGAAGGCAAAATGTGGTATATTCCCCATCATTCGGTTCAGCACCCGGCTAAGCCCGAGAAAACAAGAGTGGTTTTTGACGGTTCGGCAAGGTACGGCGGAACATCCTTGAATGATCAGCTTCTACAGGGTCCAAATTTGTCAAATACTTTGATCGGTGTTCTCATCAGGTTCAGGAAGGAACGGGTCGCATTTATGGCGGATATTCAAGAAATGTTTTATCAGGTACAAGTACCATCAACCGACGTCAATTTCTACAGATTCCTATGGTGGCCAGAGGGTGATACAACAAGGGAATTGGAGGACTTTGTCATGAAAAAACACATTTTTGGCAGTGTATCGTCTCCGGGTTGTGCCAACTTCGCACTACAAAAATGTGCACAAGACAATCACACGTTCAGTCCGGATGCGGCGAATACTATACAATATTCTTTTTATATTGATGACTGTCTGAAGTCGGTGGAAAGCATAAATAAGGCAGTGACACTGGTCCGCGAACTCAAGCAAATGTGCGCCATGGGGGGATTTAATCTCACCAAGTTCGTTAGCAATCATCGAGAAGTGACAGAATCGTTACCAGACCATGACAAAACGGAGAATATGAAAGGAGCCGAGCTGGGGTGTGACACAACGGCGGAGCGTGCACTCGGCGTTATATGGGACTTTCAGCAAGATAGGTTCAGATTCAAGGTGAAAATCCAGTCAAAACCACTCACAAGACGTGGGATTCTTTCGGCAACAAGCTCATTTTTTGACCCATTGGGAATCGCTGCTCCCGTTTTGATGGTGCCAAAATTGATCCTTCAAGAACTATGTACATTGAATCTTGGCTGGGATGACATTATTCCCATGCATCTGCAACAAAAATGGCTTCGGTGGCACTCCTCCCTTTGCCAGCTGGAACTCTTCAGTGTAGAGCGGTGCATGAAACCAGGAGATTTTGGTCGTGTCTTATCCACACAAATACATCACTTCGCAGATGCTAGCCAAGCTGGTTACGGCGCGGTATCATACCTCCGACAAGTGGATGATAACGGGAAAATCCACTGCTCTTTTCTCATTGGAAAGGCGCGCGTGGCGCCGCTGAAAAGTGTCACCATTCCTCGAATGGAGCTCACTGCTGCGACTTTAGCAGTGCGCCTTGACTTAGTTGTGAAAGAAGAACTCCAAACAGTTGTCGACTCGACAGTTTTCTGGACCGATAGTACAACTGTTCTTCGATATATCAAGAACAAAACAAGTAGATTTCATATTTATGTAGCAAATCGCATTGGTTACATTCTTGAACACAGCGACGAGAACCAGTGGAAATACGTTACTTCAAAGGTGAATCCTGCTGATGAAGCCTCACGAAGCACAACGGTGGAAAAGTTTTTGAATGGGTCGATGTGGGTTCGTGGGCCAGAGTTCCTGACGCTTCCTGAAGATAAGTGGCCAGAGCAGCCATTCAAAGAACTTGAAACAGTGATGGATGGTGACCCTGAAGTAAAAATGCCAAAACTGGTGTCAGCGACGTCCACCGAAACACAGCCAACTGACAAGCTACTGCAACATTATTCCAACTGGTACCGCCTTAAAAGAGCTGTAGCTTACTATATGCGATTGAAACAAGTCTTGCGTGATCGTATCAAGAAAGAAGAGAAGCCAGAGAGCAGAAACGTCACCAATGGAGGCATAGCGAGTGACTTGTCTGTCGAAGAACTTCAAAGTGCTGAAATGTGCATTGTCAAGTACGTTCAAGCAGGATCCTTTTCAGAAGAGTTGGCCGTTCTTCATTCTCCAGAGCACAAGAAAATAACCAGGAAGAGTAATATCTACCGGCTAGGCTAGATCCAGTCTGTGAGAGCGGTGTGCTACGGGTCGGTGGTCGACTCAGTCATGCTTACGCCTCAGAAGCATCACACCCAGCGATTCTGCCAGCAAGGTCTCATGTGACTGATTTGATTATCTCAGACACACATCGCAAGATCGGCCACAGTGGACGTCTCCATGTCTTGTCAGTGATTAGGGAACGGTTCTGGATTATTCGCGGAATGGCTGCGGTGCGCCGCGTGCTGTCACGTTGCGTATTCTGTCGCAGACTACACGGCCGTCCTTTAACACAGAAAATGGCTGATCTCCCGCAAGACCGCGTCACTCCGGACTTGACGCCATTCGCGGTCACTGGAGTCGACTTATTCGGACCTTTTTATGTCAAAAGAGGTAGAGCCATAGTGAAACGGTTTGGTGTCATATTTGTGTGCCAAAAAATCCGCGCTGTACATCTGGAAGTTGTACACTCCTTGACGACTCATTCCTTCATAAACGCGTTGCGTCGTTTCATGGCCAGACGAGGGGCAGTAAGGATAATCAGATGTGACAACGGCACAAATTTCGTGGGAGCCCGCCGGGAGCTGAAGGAAGAGATCCGCAACTGGAATCAGCAGCAAATAGAAGACGAACTTCTGCAGAAAGAGGTAAAATGGATTTTTAACGCACCGGGCGCCTCGCACCACGGAGGAACATGGGAACGCCTGATTCGCGAAACGAGGAAAATATTGAACTTTCTGCTGCAGCAAAAGACTTTAGAGGATGAGTGCTTATCCACCTTCATGTGTGAGGTAGAGGCGATTTTGAACGGACGCCCGCTCACACCTGTCTCAGATGACCCAAGGGACTTGGAAGCGCTCACACCTAACCATCTGCTCATCTACCGTTCGGCACAGCCATTGCCACCCGGTATCTTCTCAGAAGCCGACTCGTTTTCAAGAAAGCGATGGAAACTAGTTCAGTACCTTGCGACGGAATTCTGGCGCCGTTGGAAGAAGGAATACGTCAGTTCACTTCAAGTACGACAAAAGTGGATCCAGCCTCAGAGAAATTTGCGTGAAAATGACATGGTTCTCCTGGTAGACGCAGACTCTTCTCGCAACGAATGGAAAATGGGAAGAGTGATCAACGTGTACCCTGACGCAAAGGGCAATGTTCGTGTCGCAGAAGTGAGGACGAGCACCTCCATTCTTAGAAGGCCGATCAGCAAGCTTGTGCTCCTCTTACCAGAAGACGGCGCGAGCACGTGCTGAAACGGGGGAGGGGGTAAAGAGGCGGTGCTGCATTAGTTTCAGCACGGAATCAGTGCTGAAATCATTTCTTGTAACTTTTCTGTTTCCAATCGTACAGTGTTCACTTTAACGTCTGCTGCATTGTAACTGACTTCGGACATTACCTTGGGGCCAACCACCGTCCAGCCCAAGCAAGTTTTCAAGGCGTAAGGGCCACCGTTTTGGCTGTGGATTACCTCCCATGGCTCCATTGCTTTCGGGCAGTCGCATCCTATTAATATTCCAATTTTATCCGCCTTTACTTCTGGGATTTCAATTTCTAGATAAGACCACTGTTTCTTCAAACTTGTTCTTGCTACATCTTGGTCTCCAACTGGAATGGTTGGTATCGTATATACTGGTGGTAACGGAAGAGAGTTGTTACCGTTGACATCAGCTACATGTAACCCCGTTACCAGTCGACTTTTAACCGGGCTAGCTGTATGTTCTACTGTGGTAATAGTGAGCAGCGTCTCTTCTCCAGTTTGACCCAACTGACTTCGTAACTCTTCCGTTATGAATGTACTTTGACTGCCGTTATCCAAAAATGCATATGTCTTGACAGGGGCTTTGCCTGAGACGCTTAATTGTACCGGCAAGACTGGTAGAACTGTGCCTGAAGCGACTGCCTTGGTCCCACCACATAATTTGTTTTGTGGAGTACTTGAATTTGGATCGGTACTGACACTGTCATGGTGAGGCGGAAGGGAAGGTCTGGTGACGGGTTTGAATTCCACGTGCAGTAGAGATGGATGCCTTTTGTCACAATGACGACATTGCATTCGCCTTCTACAATGTTTCGATACATGATTTGGACGAAGACAAGCAAAACAAAGTCGTTTCTCCTTTATTTTCTCGATCCTTGCAGATATATCCATCTGAAGTAGAACAGGACATGATTCAATTGTATGACATTCGTCACATGCGTAACATCGCACGTCTGAATTTGTGGTTGCAGTGTAAAATGTTGATTTGAACGATTTTCCGTGGCTTGGTTTTGCATCCATCATTTCTTTCACTCCAAACACTGGGTCGCTGCATATACACACTTGCCGCTCCACAAATTCAACTATATCTCCAAAATCTGACTTCATATTTTGTTGCGAACTTTCAAACACTAGCTGACGCCATTTTTCTTGCAACTGATATGGTAACTTGCCAACGATTTTCTGAAGATTCCTAGGATGATTTACCTCGCTGAGAGCGCCCAGAGATTCCATTGCATTTTTACAGCTTCGAATTAGAATTGAAAAATCTTCCAAACAGTCAACATCCAATGATTTCATCTGCGGCCAAGAGAGAATTTTATCAACATAAGCAGAAGAAATGCGATGCTCGTCGCCATACTTGCGATCCAGTGCCGCCCTGGCATCCTTGTAGCCTCTGTCTGGCTGTAAGTGCATATATCCTTTCACGATTTCATGTGGTTTTCCTGTTACGCTTTGAAGCAAGAAATAAAGTCTTTCGGCGTCGTTCTCAGTTTGGGTTTCGATACGGCTTATAAATGAACGGATAAACATAGGGTATTCCATGGGATCACCCTTAAATTTCGTTATTTCGGTCTTCGGTAGGGAACTTCTTCGTTGTTGTCGTAACATAGTTTCTGCCATGTCGTACATTTGCGCA